AGGTTAAAACATACAACAGTGTTTCAACTGAAAACTCCCTTAAGGTATCACTTGACATTGAATCAGCTAGTGATCTTGATGCACGGAGAATCCATTTGAAAGAAGCTTGGGCAGTTGATACTAATGCCTTTGATTGCCTTCCTCAGCGCATCAGTGATGAATGGGAACACCTCAAAGACTTGCAATTGCCTGATATTGAACCCACCCAGGTCAACATGTTGATTGGTGTTGATGTCCCTGAAGCACACCTTCAACTTGACATGATCCGAGGACTTGAAAATCAACCCGTTGCAGTCAAAACCCTGCTGGGGTGGACAGTCATGGGAATAGCCCACAGTGATGATGAACTGTATCATGAAACTCAAGCTAGAATTAACCTCACAATTGCTCGTGATCAACATTTGAGTGATCAGCTTGAAGACTTCTGGAAAACAGAATCTTTTGGGATTTCACACAACAAGACAAAGCCCTATTCAACTGAAGATGAAAAGGCACAATACATCCTTGAAAGAACGACTCAACTAATTGAAGGACACTATCAAATTGGCATGCTGTGGCGTGATAAATCACCATTGCCAAACAACTTGAAAGCAGCTCAAAGAAGACTCAAAATCTTAACCAAGCGCATTGTGAGAGACTCTGAATTTGGTGTTCTTTATAGCAAAACTCTCAACGATTATGTGTCAAAGGATCAAGCAGAGAAACTCTTGGCTCAAGAAATTGACAATTCATCATGTCGGACATGGTACTTACCTCATCACGGTGTGATGAATCCTAATAAGCCAGGGAAGGTGAGAGTTGTGTTTGACGCTGCGGCTTCATACTTGGGCACATCTCTGAATGACAAATTAATGACTGGTCCTGATCTCGTCAACAGTTTGTTTGGCATTCTCCAGCAATTCAGACTTTTTGAAGTTACGATAGCTGCTGATATAGAAGGTATGTACCATCAAGTGGGGGTCCCTAAGGAGGACTCTGAAGCACTCAGATTTCTATGGAAATCAGATCTCAAGACTCCTGGTCCTCCGGATGTGTACAGGATGAAAGTACATGTGTTTGGAGCAGCTGACTCATCCTCTTGTGCAAACTACGCTGTGAAGCGCACAGCTAAGGACAATGCTGATCTATTTGAGCAGTCAGTGATCGATACAGCCCTCAATGATTTCTATGTTGATGATCTTTTGAAATCAGTTGAGACTGAAACTACTGCAGTGCATCTGATCCAAGACATTACATACCTCATCAAAATGGGTGGATTTCACCTCCACAAGTGGATTTCGAATTCAGAAGTTGTGATGAGATCAATCCCTGAAAGTGAAAGAGCTGTTAGCTCAAAGAATCTTGATCTTAATGAAATATCCACAATCAGAGCCCTTGGACTAAAATGGAATATTGTCTCGGACACTTTTGTGTTTGATCCAAGAATTCACAACAGTGCCAGAACAAAGAGAGGTGTGATAAGCATGGTGAGCTCCATCTTTGATCCTTGTGGGTATTTGGCTCCATACACAGTTCGCGTAAAGTGTCTCATACAAGACTTATGGAAGCTAGGTCTTGATTGGGATGATGACTTGCCACTAGAAATTCAATCAAGATGGAATGGCTGGCTGGAAGAAATTCAAAACTTGTCATCATTTAACCTGTGCAGGCATCACCAGGGCTTTTCATCACAATCCAGTCTCATTGAAGTTCATCTGTTCGCGGATGCCTCCGAGAAAAGCTTTGGAGCATGTGCATACATGCGCTACAAATCTTACCCTGACCAGGATGAAGTGACTTGTTCATTCCTGGCTGCAAAGACGCGTGTGTCCCCCCTTAAGCCTGCATTGACAATTCCAAGGCTGGAACTGCAAGGTGCTGTATTAGCGGTTAGACTTTGGCTTTCTCTCAAAGAAGAATTGATGGTCCCTGTCCAGAGAATTCAGTTTTGGACTGACTCAAATACAGTGTTACAATATTTGAACAATTCCAACAAGCGATTCAAGCCTTTAGTCGCTAACAGGATAGCAGAAATCCACGATTCCACAAAACCTCAACAATGGCGTCATGTCCCATCAGATATCAATCCGGCTGATCACTGTACTCGCGGACTTCAAGCAAAACAGCACACAGAAACACATCCATGGCTACGGGGTCCAGAGTTCTTATGGAAAAGTGAGGACACATGGCCAAAACTGTCAAACCCTGTTGAGATGCTCAGTGATGATCTTGAAGTGAAGAAGAGTATGTTCAAGACCACTAGAAATGCATCATCTGAAATCAATCTGAATCAAAGACATTTGACTGAACCACAAATCACAAATTTGTTGAATCCAGCTGACTATTCTACATGGCAAAGACTGTGTCGCATTTCAGCTTGGGTTCTCAGAGCAGCCAGAAACTTTCTGTCGAAACTCAGGCATCTTGACCTCAAACCTGTAACAGATGAAAGTCTGACAGTGAGTGAATGTGAGGAAGCGTTGCTCGCCTGGGTTCAAGAAGCACAAAAGGATGCATTTCAAGATGAGATTTATTGTGCTCAATCCGGAAACGAAATATCTCCAAAATCATCTCTGATAACACTATCACCATTCTATGATGGACGACATCTCAGAGTGGGACGACTTCGAAAAGCTACTATTCCAAGAGAAGCAAAGTATCAACTCCTCCTTCCAGATTATCACCCAGTCACACAGCTACTGATGAATAAAACTCACAAGGAAAATGCTCACTGTGGTACTGAACACATTATAGCTACAGTAAGACAGCGATTCTGGCCTCTTCATGCAAGAAAGTTAGCAAAGCGTGCTGTCAGAAGTTGTCAAGAGTGTAGGAAGCGTTCTGTGAATCCAGTTGCACCCAAGATGGCAGACCTTCCATCATGTCGTGTAAGCCTTACAGATGGAGTATTCTCTCATACTGGAGTGGACTACTTTTGCCCGATTTTGGTAAAGTTCAAGCGAAGCACAATGAAAAGGTGGGGATGTTTGTTTACTTGTCTGTCTGTAAGGGCAGTACACATTGAGGTTGCTGATTCATTGGAAACAGATGATTTTCTTCTCGCCCTCAGAAACTTTATCGGGCGCTGTGGAAACCCTCAACATTTGTATAGCGATAACGGTACAAACTTTCATGGAGCAGACAACGAACTCCGTCAGTGCCTTCACAATCTCAAACAAGCCAAAATCAGTGACTTCCTGTGTGTGCGAGGTATTCAGTGGCACTTTAATCCACCGCTTAGTCCGCACTTTGGTGGTGCATGGGAACAACTGGTGAGATCCGTAAAAACAGCCTTAACTTGTGTTTTGAAAGGAACCCTTGTTCATGAATCTGTGCTTCGCACATCTCTGATTGAAGTCGAAGCAATGCTGAACAGTCGACCTTTGACTTACAACAGTGCAAACCCAAACGACTTCACCGCCTTGACACCGAACCATTTTTTGCTCGGCAGATCTAACCCATTCCAACCAGTTGATGTGTTCCAGGACAAAGAGATGTGCAGCAGAAAAAGATGGCGCCAAGCCCAAGTCCTTGCAGATCATCTGAATCGCCGATGGATGAGAGAGTACTTACCTAACTTGACAGTAAGGCATCGCTGGAGAGTTGGTGGTTGCAGAATATCGGTCGGTGATCTTGTTCTGATAGTCGATGACTCTAAACCCAGAGGTCAGTGGGAAATGGGAAGAATAATTGACATTCTGCCTGGTGATGATAGTGAAGTGAGAACTGTGAGAGTGAAAACTCCCAAGGGTGAATACACAAGACCTGCTGTGAAAGTGTGTGTTCTTGAATAGACAGTGTAGATGTGATCTCCAATCATCTATCATTGAATTACCTGTTTATCAGGTACATAGACTGTGACGTTTAACTCTGTCAGGTGGGGTGGGGTTTTGTTGACAATAAGTAGAATCATTTTTCGTTTTAATTTAAGCTGCTACTGAATAGCAATTTATGTTTTTCCGTAACTTTCGAGAATTACTTCCCCTTGGTTTGTCACCTGCGGTCCAACACAGTTGGAAACATAAAAAATCGGTAGAGGTAAACACATGTATGACGTGCTATGAGACGCATGAAGCAAACACAAACACAATTTCATGTATCCAAGTGGTGGTGTAGCAGAAATAAACATTTTGAAACGAATGACGTTAATTCTTTATGTTCTCTCACGAACAATTACACTGAATACAACTGTGGCATCATACCCAATCAGTACACTGAATACAACTGTGATATCATACCCAATCATTACACTAAATACAACTGTGATATCATACCCAATCAGTACACTGAATACAACTGTGATATCATACCCAATCAGTACACTGAATACAACTGTGATATCATACCCAATCAGTACACTGAATAATACAACTGTGATATCATACCCAATCAGTACACTTAATAATACAACTGTGATATCATACCCAATCAGTACACTGAATACAACTGTGATATCATACCCAATCAGTACACTTAATAATACAACTGTGATATCATACCCAATCAGTACACTGAATAATACAACTGTGATATCATACCCAATCAGTACACTTAATAATACAACTGTGATATCATACCCAATCAGTACACTGAATAATACAACTGTGATATCATACCCAATCAGTACACTTAATAATACAACTGTGATATCATACCCAATCAGTACACTGAATACAACTGTGATATCATACCCAATCAGTACACTGAATACAACTGTGATATCATACCCAATCAGTACACTGAATAATAAAACTGTGATATCATACCCAATCAGTACACTTAATAATACAACTGTGATATCATACCCAATCAGTACACTGAATACAACTGTGATATCATACCCAATCAGTACACTGAATGCAACAGTGATATCATACCAAATCATTACACTAAATACAACTGTGATATCATACCCAATCAGTACACTGAATACAACTGTGATATCATACCAAATCAGTACACTGAATACAACTGTGATATCATACCAAATCAGTACACTGATGACAGACAACTTCTCTCACCCGTTTGCCTTTGAACTGTCGACATCTGGGCGTGGCCTTGTCAGGAAACAGTTTGCCGTCAAATCTGGGTTCCCGCTGTGAGCAGAGTTTGTGACAAGACGTGACTGTAATGAGGTCCACCCGCAGGTTGTCCAGAGATTTACACAGAAGTTCTCGATGATAGTAGATGGAGTCAGGTCGGCTACAACCGATAACACAAAGGAAGGTGAACATGTTCTGCATGCAGTACTGTAATGTTGTACACTGTAACTGAAACAGTCTGACACTTTAGCCAATAGATCAAAGCCCATTTCTAGAAAATTTTCTTTCATTTCAGTCTGGTTTCAATGATGACTTTAACAATAGTTCAGTCATATCACGGCGTGTGAACCTATTGTGTGAGGAAAGGCTCAAGAGCACTGGTCTGGAGCAATATCCATGTTTAAACTATGCGTAGACTTTAATCTACAGACAGACTTCAGAAAGACACCTTAGACTACCTACCTGTCTGGGCTGAGGTTTTTGCAATGTTCAAACTTTTTATCGAGTTCCGTCAGCCTGTCCTGGGACTCGGTGTAAGACCAGGGGTAGCTGAAGGCGAAGTACACCGTCGCTCCCTTGATGTCCGGGAACCGGTAGCTGAAGCTCAGGATGAACTGACCATCCACCGTCTGGAGACCAAACATACATCCATCAGACAGCCGCCAACATTCCACTGATCATTCCTTCATTTGAATGGAACTTCTTTACAATGTTCATCATGGAATTTTTGAATTATGAAAATACCTTTTGTTTTTGAAAATTTCAACTTTCATTGATAGTTGTATAGCAAGAAGTTAAACATTTCAAAATTTATCCACTGTGTTAAAGCATAAAGTTATCTGTCACAGTAGCAACCTTCTTTCTACGTATGCTCGACCATGAATGGGTGAGGGGGGCCTTCACCCACGTGCCCTGCTGTCACCCACGTGCCCTGCTGTCACCCACTTGCCCTGCTGTCACCCACGTGCCCTGCTGCCACCCACGTGCCCTGCTGTCACCGACCTGCTGTCACCCACTTGCCCTGCTGTCACCCACGTGCCCTGCTGTCACCCACCTGCTGTCAACCACGTGCCCTGCTGTCACCCATGTGCCCTGCTGTCACCCACTTGCCCTGCTGTCACCCACGTGCCCTGCTGCCACCCACGTGCCCTGCTGTCACCCACCTGCTGTCACCCACTTGCCCTGCTGTCACCCACCTGCTGTCACCCACGTGCCCTGCTGTCACCCACGTGCCCTGCTGTCACCCACGTGCCCTGCTGTCACCCTCGTGCCCTGCTGTCACCCACGTGCCCTGCTGTTACCCACCTACCCTGCTGTTACCCACGTGCCCTGCTGCCACCCACATGCCCTGTCACCCACCTGCCCTGCTGCCACCCACCTACCCTGCTGTCACCAACCTGCCCTGCTGTCACCCACATGCCCTGTCACCCACCTGCCCTGCTGCCACCCACGTGCCCTGCTGTCACCCACCTGCCCTGCTGTCACCCACATGCCCTGCTGCCACCCACATGCCATGTCACCCACCTGCCCTGCTGTCACCCACATGCCCTGCTGTCACCCACATGCCCTGCTGTCACCCACATGCCCTGTCACCCACCTGCCCTGCTGCCACCCACGTGCCCTGCTGTCACCCACCTGCCCTGCTGTCACCCACATGCCCTGCTGCCACCCACATGCCCTGTCACCCACCTGCCCTGCTGTCACCCACGTGTCCTGCTGTCACCCACGTGCTGTCACCCACATGCCCTGCTGTCACCCACGTGCCCTGCTGTCACCCTCATGCCCTGCTGTCACCCACATGCCCTGCTGTCACCCACATGCCCTGCTGTCACCCACTTGCTCTGCTGCCACCCACGTGCCCTGCTGCCACCCACATGCCCTGCTGTCACCCACATGCCCTGCTGTCACCCACATGCCCTGCTGTTACCCACTTGCCCTGCTGCCACCCACGTGCCCTTCTGTCACCCATGTGCCCTGCTGTTACCCACGGGCCCTGCTGCCACCCACCTGCCCTGCTGTCACCCACGTGCCCTGCTGTCACCCACGTGCCCTGCTGTCACCCACCTGCTGTCACCCACTTGCCCTGCTGCCACCCACATGCCCTGCTGTCATCACCCACATGCCCTGCTGTCACCCACCTGCTGTCACCCACATACCCTGCTGCCACCCACATGCCCTGCTGTCACCCACGTGCCCTGCTGTCACCCATGTGCCCTGCTGTTACCCACTTGCCCTGCTGCCACCCACTTGCCCTGCTACCACCCACTTGCCCTGCTGCCACCCACTTGCCCTGCTGCCACCCACGTGCCCTGCTGTTACCCACGTGCCCTGCTGCCACCCACATGCCCTGTCACCCACCTGCCCTGCTGTCACCCACATGCCCTGCTGTCACCCATGTGCCCTGCTGCCACCCACGTGCCCTGCTGTCACCCAAGTGCCCTGCTGTTACCCACGTGCCCTGCTGCCACCCACGTGCCCTGCTGTCACCCACGTGCCCTGCTGTCACCCACCTGCTGTCACCCACATGCCCTGCTGTCACCCACGTGCCCTGCTGTCACCCACATGCCCTGCTGTCACCCACATGCCCTGCTGTCACCCACATGCCCTGCTGTCACCCACTTGCTCTGCTGCCACCCACGTGCCCTGCTGTCACCCACTTGCCCTGCTGTCACCCACATGCCCTGCTGTCACCCACATGCCCTGCTGCCACCCACGTGCCCTTCTGTCACCCATGTGCCCTGCTGTTACCCACGTGCCCTGCTGCCACCCACTTGCCCTGCTGTCACCCACCTGCTGCCACCCACATGCCCTGCTGTCACCCACGTGCCCTGCTGTCACCCACCTGCTGTCACCCACCTGCTGTCACCCACTTGCCCTGCTGCCACCCACATGCCCTGCTGTCATCACCCACATGCCCTGCTGTCACCCACCTGCTGTCACCCACATACCCTGCTGCCACCCACATGCCCTGCTGTCACCCACGTGCCCTGCTGCCACCCACGTGCCCTGCTGTTACCCACGTGCCCTGCTGCCACCCACGTGCCCTGCTGCCACCCACGTGCCCTGCTGTCACCCACCTGCCCTGCTGTCACCCACATGCCCTGCTGCCACCCACGTGCCCTGCTGTCACCCATGTGCCCTGCTGTTACCCACATGCCCTGCTGCCACCCACGTGCCCTGCTGTCACCCATGTGCCCTGCTGTTACCCACGTGCCCTTCTGTCACCCACGTGCCCTGCTGTTACCCACGTGCCCAGGGGGTGGAATGCATGTCAGACATGTCAGAAGAGTGATCTGATTTATCAAGTTGTTTGTTCCGTTAAACAACAATTTAACTCAAATAATATGTATATTCATAACACAAAGAGCAAATACCATAGCCCTCGTAGTCCTTAAATTCTTCATCTGGTTCATACACAGTGAGTCGAGAAGCCGTCAGTATCACTAACTGATTTTCCCTTTCGGCCAAGAAATTCCCATTTACCTCATAAGATGGCCGGTCTCTGATGCGTTCCCACTTTGGTCTGTTGGGGAGGATGCGTACAAGTGGGGTGTGACCCTGGCTGTACAGCTTGCCCTGCCGGTTCATGTTCATCACGTTGATCTTGATGAGGCGACCCGGGTTCCAGCCTCGGACCCCGAAGTAGAACCAGGATCTGCAACAAGATGACGACACAAGGATGGAAAACATTTGACAGGGAAAGTTGACTTCAAACAAACAACAGTCCAACTTTGACATGGTTTAAGCTTCCAATTTCATTTTGTAAAGTTTATTTTTCACTTACATGCGTCCAGTTCCACAAAGCAATCTTAGCACTATGACTGTCGTACAGTGTTGGCTGAAGAGCGCGTTTTTGCGTCTTGGACGCACAAAAATAAGTTTGAACGCACCTGCGTAACATGTGTGGGTCTCGTGGACGCAGTGACTGGGGCTATATTAATTTCATATTGAATTGACACTGTTATCGTAAATCAAAGACGTACGTCTTTGCGTAAAGGTATTTGTTGCCAAACAAGACAGCGAAGCATGTTGATTAACACTTCCGTTTGCTAAACCAAACCAGTTTCATTATTCTCTCCCTTTTTATGACAAATACCCAAACCGGTTTCTTGACCTATATCTATTGTCGGTTTTGCATGTATTAATTTTCGGTATGGTCCGTAGCTTTGCTTCAGCCAATCAGGTGCCACATATTAAGCAAGTCGGATATAGTCGTAATTAATTTAGCTTGCTGATTGGTCGAAAATATCCTGACCTTGTGTCAAACTAAAAATAGCCAGGGTATACTTCAGAACGTGGTAACAGTGACCCGCGAAATCGAGCGACCGTGTAGGATGATACGCTATGTTATCGCGGTAGTTAATTTATAATGGATCGTAGTGGGGCACGCTTACAAACTTATTAAATATGTGATTCACAAAATGTTTGTTGTTCATTGGATTGATTGATGCTGATTTTCTTTACCGAGTTCGGTAAACAAAGTACCTGTCATTGGTGAATCTTACCGCAGTAAGTAAGGCTGTGTGGATTATATGGTATATCACTTCCTGTTTTGAATTTTGCATACGACCGAGGTTTGGTCAAGGGACTTCGTTTGAACAAATGGGTTCTTTTTCTAATCAATTTTGAATGGAGGAAGGGGTAATTCCACTTCAAAAACATCCCAGGAACTGTCATAAAAAAGTTAACGTGTGTACAAGTAGCCGTGACATACCGCAACGAGTCCTGTATTCGATCATGCGATGAAATATATCGTGCTTAGATTTGCATAAGTAAACAGTCGACAGGTTGTGTGGATTACGAGATTTATCAATACCGCGATACTGTATATGATAAAGAATGAATGCGAACACTTGAATGTACCGGTACAATGATGTAAGCATTGTTTTTATTTAGCGGACTCTGAATATTTAGTTATTCTACAACAGACTTATCAAGCTGATAATAATTCAATATCTTGTGAGTCATATTAAGAATTGCAAAACACATTTTGCCAGGACCGTTATTGGTGTAACTGACATGTTTAAACATTTATAGCACCTGAAACATGTTGACTAGATTTATCAAGGAAATGCTGGATCCTGAACATACTTTTACTAAAAAAACGTTTGATATGCCAATTATATTTTATGACTCATTGATCATTGTCACAGTTACAACATGAACTCAATACTCAGTACAGTAGCATCAGAACAGCCATTGAACTTAACTGAATCCAAAACTTCAAATCATTGGTAGATCTCGGTAAAAACATTCACAAATGTCTGTCACAATGACCCCTTACCAATGGCTGACCCGTGTACTGCCTTTTCATATACGAAGTTAGATATTAACATGGATAATTTTGTGTTATAATATTCATTAATATCAAATGTCCCTTTTAAGAAATTGTTTGTCCCTTAATGTAAACCTCTTGGTTATGAGAGCAGGATGTGCCCTGATGTGAACCTTTCTCTCACTTTGCCTGTTTGTTGATATTTTGCAGTTGCGAAAAGATTTCTTATTTTTCACAACCACTGTGTTCTGTTGTTAATGTTATGTTATAATGCTATAAATTAGACCCCTCCAATTTTGTTTGGGACCCCTAATTTTATGATGAAGGGGTCCAAGTGACCCCAAGAAAATTTAAGCCAGAGCAGACACTGTGTCGTACATCTGTTTCATTGTGTTAAGTCCATGTTTAAGTATATGAGTAACAGCCAACGTAGTGCTGAGATTGCTTTGGGAAACTAGGCGATGGCACTGAACCATTGCAAAATGATACAAATACCTCACATACAAACATGATAAAGCATTAGTTGATACTAACACTTGCTCTTATTTGTCATGACAATGAACCCATGAGATCTTTTCTCCTAATCATGCTAACTGAACCTGTTCAATTCCTCCTACCTGTTCCCATTTTCAAACTCAGTGCCTCCACAGTCAGGCTTTGTCCACACATTGAACTCATTGTCCGGCCGAGGTTCTTGTCCGGAGTAGTAGACGCCACCTGCAACACACACACAGCTACAACCAGTACGGCAGTAGACTTCATACAACACACACAGCTACAACCAGTAGGCTTCATACAACACACACAGCTACAACCAGTAGACTTCATACAACACACACAGCTACAACCAGTAGGCTTCATACAACATACACACAGCTACAACCAGTAGACTTCATACAACATACACACAGCTACAACCAGTAGACTTCATACAACACACACACACCTACAACCAGTAGACTTCATATAATACACACAGCTACAACCAGTAGACTTCATACAACATACACACAGCTACAACCAGTAGACTTCATACAACACACACACAGCTACAACCAGTAGACTTCATACAACACACACACAGCTACAACCAGTACGGCAGTAGACTTCATACAACACACACAGCTACAACCAGTAGACTTCATACAACCTACAACCACAGCTACAACCAGTAGGCTTCATATAATACACACACAGCTACAACCAGTAGACTTCATACAACACACACACAGCTACAACCAGTAGACTTCATATAATACAAACACAGCTACAACCAGTAGACTTCATACAACACACACAGCTACAACCAGTAGACTTCATATAATACACACAGCTACAACCAGTAGACTTCATACAACACACACAGCTACAACCAGTAGACTTCATACAACACACACAGCTACAACCAGTAGACTTCATATAATACACACAGCTACAACCAGTAGACTTCATACAACACACACAGCTACAACCAGTAGACTTCATACAACACACACAGCTACAACCAGTAGACTTCATATAATACACACACAGCTACAACCAGTAGACTTCATATAACATACACACAGCTACAACCAGTAGACTTCAAACAACACACACAGCTACAACCAGTAGACTTCATATAATACACACACAGCTACAACCAGTAGACTTCATACAACATACACACAGCTACAACCAGTAGACTTCAAACAACACACACAGCTACAACCAGTAGACTTCATACAATACACACACAGCTACAACCAGTAGACTTCATACAACAAACACACAGCTACAACCAGTAGACTTCATACAACATACACACAGCTACAACCAGTAGACTTCATACAACACACACAGCTACAACCAGTAGACTTCATATAATACACACACAGCTACAACCAGTAGACTTCATACAACAAACACACAGCTACAACCAGTAGACTTCATACAACATACACACAGCTACAACCAGTAGACTTCATACAACACACACAGCTACAACCAGTAGACTTCATATAATACACACACAGCTACAACCAGTAGACTTCATACAACATACACACAGCTACAACCAGTAGACTTCATACAACATGCACAGCTACAACCAGTAGACTTCATACAACACACACAGCTACAACCAGTAGACTTCATACAACACACACAGCTACAACCAGTAGACTTCATACAACATACACACAGCTACAACCAGTAGACTTCATACAACACACACAGCTACAACCAGTAGACTTCATACAACATACACACAGCTACAACCAGTAGACTTCATACAACACACACAGCTACAACCAGTAGACTTCATACAACACACACAGCTACAACCAGTAGACTTCATACAACACACACAGCTACAACCAGTAGACTTCATACAACACACACAGCTACAACCAGTAGACTTCATACAACACACACACAGCTACAACCAGTAGACTTCATACAACATACACACAGCTACAACCAGTAGACTTCATACAACACACACAGCTACAACCAGTAGACTTCATACAACACACACAGCTACAACCAGTAGACTTCATATAATACACACACAGCTACAACCAGTAGGCTTCATACAACACACACAGCTACAACCAGTAGACTTCATATAATACACACACAGCTACAACCAGTAGACTTCATACAACATACACACACAGCTACAACCAGTAGACTTCATATAATACACACACAGCAACAACCAGTAGACTTCACACAACATACACACAGCTACAACCAGTAGACTTCATACAACATACACACAGCTACAACCAGTAGACTTCATATAATACACACAGCTACAACCAGTAGACTTCATACAACATACACACAGCTACAACCAGTAGACTTCATACACTACACACACAGCTACAACCAGTAGACTTCACACAACATACACACAGCTACAACCAGTAGACTTCATACAACACACACAGCTACAACCAGTAGACTTCATACAACATACACACACAGCTACAACCAGTAGACTTCATACAACATACACACAGCTACAACCAGTAGACTTCATACACTACACACACAGCTACAACCAGTAGACTTCACACAACATACACACAGCTACAACCAGTAGACTTCATACAACATACACACAGCTACAACATGTACAACCAGTAGACTTCATACAACATACACACAGCTACAACCAGTAGACTTCATACACTACACGCACAGCTACAACCAGTAGGCTTCATACAACATACACACAGCTACAACCAGTACGGCAGTAGACTTCATGCAACACACACAGCTACAACCAGTAGACTTCACACAACCTACAACCACAGCTACAACCTATTCAGCCAGGGTCATCTGTTGTTTATGCAGCTTCTCAAGGGGTCAATTTCCAAAACTCTGTGTTACAATTCAATTACAACATTTCACACCTGATCTTAAACACTAATGCTCTTTCTGTAATCAACAATGATCAAAGAAGTGTAAACATATATAGTTTTATATATTAATGATATTAGTTTTAATCTTAAAAAAATAATAACAGTAATCTTGACTTTTAAAGGATAAAATGTTTTTAAAATCTTAGAGAAAGTAGGGTCATTTCATTCAGTAACCATGCCAACTGAAGAGCTGCTGAATTATGTGACAAGACTTACATCATTAGAATCAGGATGTTATTCCCTATACTCGTCTAAGGCCCAGACATTGTCGCTTGTGACCCAGGGCTGACCCAAACCAATCTCTGCCCAGCGATTCATACTTACACCTATCTGCCCTCACTGGTTAATGTAAAAGTAGGACTCCTTTAGCTGCAATAACATATATCATGTATATACTCAACAAACTTGTTTGTGGTAGTTGTGACACAACTCTGTGGAGTCCCTAGACATTTTCTGGGATATTTACCAAGTTGTCATACTCAGTTGAATGTAATTATAACTGTAACACAAGGTGACTGCGTGCATGCATGTGATTACTTCCCATATGGGCATGAATATAGGGGCAATTATTTTCGGTCACTGACAGCCATTTTGCTTCATGTTGATTGGCTACTTTACAACTACTATTTTGTCCTACTGACTGGAACATTCCTCCACAACATGATGTCATATCAGTGCACTGGTGCAGATTAACTGGTGATGAAACCGCCCTTAGCTTATAGTGACACAGAACACGTGTAGAAGCTCCTCCCTGGCATGTATAGGGTTTCAGGCTACATTTACTGGAGTGATGTCTCTGATTATTGGGAAACACATACTTGTTATTTTTCTCACTTTCTGACAAATCTACTTATTTACATGGATATTACTCAGCGTGGATACTTTTTTACCCACAACTGTCTGGTTCAATATGCTACCATTATAGATTCTGTGTGTTACCATGGTTACAAATGGTTCATGTTTTCCAAAAGCGACAAAGGTTTCAGGAAATCATCAATGTTTACTTACTTGATTCATCTTCATCTTCCCTGACAACTTTTTCCACACGGGTGAGGTTGCCGGAGTCGAACTTCGACGTAAACAGTAGTCCTCCAACACGACTCTCCATGTTACCCGCTGCAGACAAACAGACAGACAACATGAACTGAAGGGTGTTTAATGCAGTTGTCAGAAATACTCCAACTAAAACAAGCAGGAAATACTCATATTCCCCCCTATGACATGTCAGGTCATGAAAAAGCATGAGCCCCTAACTCCAAGCTAAGAAAAATATTTTTGGGAGAAAAAAAATCCTAACTATTAAAAGACACCACACAGCCTGTTCATCACTAGACCTATCTATGTGCTAAGTTATTTGAAGAAATATTTACAGTTTTCAAGATCTGCTCCGGAAAGAAGCACCACCACTATTTTCAGTCTAAGTCAAATTCAGTCCATGTAAACTCGAAAAATCAATTTTTCTAAAATCCTTACTATGAGAAGGCACCAGTTCATGACGAGACCTATCTATGTGATATCTCTCAGGGTTTTTGAGGCCTGCTCTGAAAATGAAACGTGAAGGACGGACGGACGGACGGACGGCACCCATTCCTTTTTCCCCCTTCAACTTCGTGACAAAAAGCCTGCAATAACTGAGTGGCTGGAGACTGAAAGAGTCATCACGGATCCATGTTGAACAACACAATCACATGACTAACAACTAGCAGGAGAAACTGGGGACAACATATAGAGCTGAGGAGGGGCATGGTTACACAGCCCCAGATATTTTAGGTCCAAAGGGCTAATTTAAAAACCTATTCAACTAATCCTCAGAGATTATAGCTAGTCTTGCCAGACTGATTTGCTGGAAATGTTTTTTATTTAAAATCAAAGCACTGAGATCTAATCCAGAATGATAGTCATCAACATGCTCAATGGTTAACAGTGGACTACCATCACTGAAATTTGAATTGTTCCCAGCACATTTAGCCTGGCTGGTCACAGACACATCACCACATGTTAGGACAACCTGGATTATATAGGACTGTGGGATCACCACATGTTAGGACAACCTGGATTATATAGGACTGTGGGATCACCACATGTTAGGACAACCTGGATTATATAGGACTGTGGGATCACCACATGTTAGGACAACCTGGATTATATAGGACTGTGGGATCACCACATGTTAGGACAACCTGGATTATATAGGACTGTGGGATCACCACATGTTAGGACAACCTGGATTATATAGGACTGTGGGATCACCACATGTTAGGACAACCTGGATTATAGAAGACTGTGGGATCACCACATGTTAGGACAACCTGGATTATGTAGGACTGTGGGACATTCTACTTAGGACTTTGCCTTTGATTATTCAGAATACAGGGTTTACTCTAGAAATGTTCTGACATTGGCCTGACTACATGATCACTACATAAATGAAGAATGACATGACAAGCAGCATGTCCCAGAAGTACTTACCTTACAGAACACTACAGTAGGTAGATGGGAAAAGGATTCTGTGCTGTTGGTACTGCAGACGTTACAAACAGCATCATGCCATTGTGACATCAAGACACTACAGCACATCCCCAAAAACTGTCAACATTGTTGCAGCAGCTGCAACAAAGGAAATGGATCTTGTTCATGTTGCTGTTCATGATTTTGTACATGTTGTTGTACATGTTGTTGTACATGGGAAATACAACATCAGGCACACACATTTTTATTTTTATTTCGACTGACCTTGTGTGGAAAAAGCTGGAATAGATCTGTGAAACATAAAATAAAAAAAAAGTGTGGCATCATGCTGTTTTAGACAAGTTAACGTGGTTAGATTGGAGCACCTATTGAAATGCATTTATGTGGTTCTTAATGATGTTAACATCCGGTAAACAGTTCAACCACTTACCAAACTGTGTCAAACATATTTTTTTTATTATACTAAACATGGTAAACATGATCAAATGTGCTCTCTATTGAGAAAATTTCATGTGAAATATTTCTTCACATATTATCGTTTATCCGACTATAACATGATAACGAAATAGTTCGATACCTGCAACAAAATCAGGAAAAACAAACGCTGGCACAAACAAAATAAACTTGGTCCTTCAATAAAACTGTTCATGGTCCTGTACAAGCATGAACAGTTCAGCGTGCTGGAAGACCTCTGGAATTGGACTTTTCAGGCACTTAGCATCATTTTCCCACATTGACACAGTTCTATGGAACACTGATCAACAACAATACAAGGTCCAGACTGCAAACACACCTCCTTACTCTCCACTACCTCAACTAGACATTGTCCAGTCTAGTTCTTTGTGTAGCGTTATGAGTACATTCTAGGATATGGATCAGGCACATTATAAATATGCATTATTATCAACGGTGAGCAGTAATGTGGCTGGTATCCAAACCTTGAACAAAAGGCATTTAAGTCCCGTGAAGATTCCGGGTTAGAATTGGTCTTCAGAAACCAATGCTCACGGATAATTCTAGGGTGGGGCCTTGTGTTTATAGCCCCTAAAATTGAAAAAAGGCCCATATTTTCAAATACAATGGGCCAATTTAACATTGTGATGTATGGGCGTACCTCTGGAATATTTACAATTTTCACATAAAGGGCCAACGTCAGAAAATTCCTAGAGTGGACCCTGCATGCTGTTGTAAGGGGCGACTAATGGGATTGTGTGGTCAGGCTCCCTGACTTGGTTCATGCATATCATTGTATCCAAATTGCATAGATCGATGCTCATGATGTCCATCACTGGTTTGTATGGTCAGAACTCTATTATTTACAGACCGCCATCACACAGTTGGAATATTGCTGAGTGCGGCGTAACAACAAACTATACTATCAGGAACAATCTAGATGACACAAACTCTTAGAAGATGCGTTCGTAATTTCGCAGTTATGCAAAGTGACATACAGTCGATAAAGAAATTACTTCATGAAGTAAGTTGTCAGCACTACTACAACACTCTATCAGCTGACTATTTGCCAATCCACCGGTACAAACCTCAAAAGGTGCTTCTGACAAGTTGAAACGAATCATGTTTATGGACGGATTCAGACATGTCAGTACGAACAGGAAAACTCTCAGTTCACAAATAATATCGTTTGAGTATGTGACTAAAACATACCTAAATGTAATCAACATGTCAGCAAGGTATTCCTTTTCCAAGCGGGTATAAAAATCATAAATCACATAGCTTCCTGTAGTTTTTTAGTGCTACGGCAGACATATTGTAAACTATCATGGTTGCCGACCATGTGATCCGTACTAACCAATCAAGTTTAAGCCCTTAATCACATGATCAAAACATGGACGATCCCGTTAAAGTCAACACGTGACAATCTTCGTTCTCTCCTGAGTAGAATGGGGTTCATCAGGTGTATTCGTGTTTAGTCAGGAAAATTATTCTTACTTCTTCCAGTTGTTAATAAACATTGTCCAGACTAGATCTACATATTGATTACTTCCTAAAGATGGAGGGAATGTTGTTACACTTCACAATTAATCAGATACAAATTGTTTCTGGAATCATATAGGTGCACTTCAATACTATCCGCGCTTGCAGATGACAATTTTTGTTTGTTGTTGTATGCCACACTCAGCAGTCTACCAGCAACATAACGGCGGTCTGTGAATCATCGAGTCTGGTCCAGACAAACCTCTGACTGAAAGCACGCGCACCTATGAACCCGGGTATTTGAGACTGACACTTTTTAAAGTGCAATTTGTGACTAAACAGCAGAATCAGAAGATTACCGTATTTCCCCTAACAGGCGCCTCGGCGGTCTTGTTCTATGAACAAGCTTCCAAATTCGGCAGGTAATATACCCGGCGCTTAATATTTCAACAACAGTGCTGCATTGGCTACAGTCACTAATGAAAAGTATGGAAGCGGAATGGTGACACTTTCTAAAATTCATCTACGTATAGATGATAGTATCACCTATGTAGATGATTGTGCTTTTTTAGAATGTGGCACCACCACCAATTGACAGACAGTATAATTTTATGTCCTTATCTTGGCTCAGAGGAAATACAATATGTCACAGGAACTTGTACACATGTGTTCCCTGGTCATCTTTCTACTCGTTCCCGTCAACAGCGAAGTAAATATACCATCGGAACAAAATTCTGTGCACTATAATCAAACATACATGAAATGGAATTCTGCATGTTAACCAGATCACACATCACTGTACACAGGGGCAGTCAATTCAAACAAAATAAATCGTTGAAGTGTTTTAACTGTGAAAAGCAACTTTCACTTTGTTGATGGCCAAATATGGTAGCGGTTGTGCCACTCCCATCTGAAGATGAGCGCTTGCGTGCAATTGAAATCTGCTTGAAATCGGAAGTGCACAAAACAGTTGCTGTAAGACGTTTTGGTTCCTATGGTAACACCATGTAGTCACTCTGGGGTCGGTACCAACAGACTGGCAACGCCAGGGAACGACCACGTTCTGGAGCTCCACCGGTAACGTCACGTCGGCAACATTATCATACCCGCAGCATCGTGGCTTCCGTCCGATTCGTGCAAGGACTGCGCGGATCACGAGAGCGCAACACCCGACCACGACGTCCAGTTTTGCTGCCAGGTCACACGGAACTGCTTGCTTGGTCGAGACAACATCTGAGGTTACAGGACTACAATGGAGGTTAGTCAGGCTTCTTCACAGACGACTCCTGGGTGCCGTTCCACAAATCATTCTTAGCCTACGACGATCGTGACTCCAATACTTTAACATAGACTTACGGCCAGTCAAGTGCTATTTCGCCAGCTCACAGCCTTATTGCCCAACACGCCTTGGCCTGCTGTTTCGCCAGCTCACAGCCTTATTGCCCAACACGCCTTGGCCTGCTGTTTCGCCAGCTCACAGCCTTATTGCCCAACACGCCTTGGCCCGCTGTTTCGCCAGATCTGTCAACCATGACGTCAGGGATGAAATGAATCGTGGTTTACGCCGACTTCCAACCAACCGGAATGACATCCCACAAGCCTTCCTCAAGCAGCTTGTGTCGTCAATACGGCGCCGGTGTCAAGTTTGTGTCATTGCTAATGATGGGCATACCGGACACTGACTTGAGAACTGACAACTGACCCCACACTATGAACACAAAATGCCATTTAGAAAGTGGTCAAATGTAACAAATGTTATATTTGCGATAACACTTTCTCAGTAAAGTACATATTCTCGTACTTTTTTGGGGTTGAGTCCCGTCCGGGATTCGAACCCACACTGCCAGAGTGAGGCACCTAATCGCCAGCACACAAAGTTCGAGAATCTCTGCTTTACTGAGAAAGAGAATCTGTACTTTACTGAGAAAGTGTTATCCTAAATGTAACATCTGTGACCACCCATTACTTTCAGCCTGAGATGACGTGTAAATGTTTTGACACTTTCATGATGAATTCATGTTTATTTTATATTTCCCATGATAGTCAGGGAAGATCCTGGGTAGAATAGATCTTCAGCAACCAATGCTTGCCGTAAAAGGCGACTATGCTTGTCGTAAGAGGCGACTAACGGGATCGGGTGGTCAGGCTCGCTGACTTGGTTGATGCTTGTCATCGTATCTCAATTGCTTAAATCGATGCTCATGATGTCAATCATTGGATTGTCTGATCCAGACTCGATTATTTACAGACCGCCGTCATATAGCTGGGATATTGGTGAGCGCAAACAAACAAACAATAACCATCAAATAGTCTATTCCCTTTCACTGATATAACCAAATGAACACGAAATTAGGGGACCAATGAGGTCGTTTTATCTGTGAGGTGGGGTGAGGTGAGGTGAAGTGAAATTGGGTTTAACGTCGCGTCCAAGATTATTGCACTTATATTGCGACGTGCATGCACGTGTGTGTGTGGCTGCTTGTACTAGTCCGGACGAATGCCGATTTATAGTGCTAGCACACTGAGATACCATGCCGCAGTTTAACATGAATACCCCCACTCCGACACAGTATACTGATTCTGAGCCGACCAGTCCTTGTTTTAGCCCCTTAATGCCGAGCGCAGGACAGGGTAACAACAAGTACCATCTTTTAACGTCTTTTGGTATGACGCGGACGGGGATCGAACCCCGGACCTTCCGCTCTCCGGGCGGACGCTTTATCTGTTCTCATATTTTGATATGTGCATAAAGATTCAAAAATACAAAAGCAAACTCGAGACTTGAAGAGGTGCGACTTTCCCTTTAAATTTGGCACATCAGTGACAAAAATGATGTCCGATGCAATTGTCAATTTTGACTTGTGCCATATGTTCCCGTTGAACATTTGAATTGCCTTTGCATGTGTTTGTGACGGGTGCCAGCGGTGGGGCAGGATACGCTCACCTATTCCCCTGGTATATATCACCATTTCACAGTAGTTCATAAACTGTTACACATGTTCGTTATATAGTAGAGCTTTCTTATGAATGTGGAAATGTTTCGTAGCTTTTATTTCCATTAACGCATGTTACAATGGCATCTAATGCCTACCTAATTAACGGTTAAAAATTATTAGAGAATAACCAAAAAGCTCTAAAGGGGATCTAAGGATTCCTGTACATCATTGTTCACAATTGACAGATAATCCGTAATGTCGAGGTGGAGTTTGGGCCTGACAAGCTCATCAATTAAGTCCCTCCACGGCAATAAGTAAAGTTGCTGGGGACCTATTCTACCCCAAAGCTGGCAACTATTACGATCAATTCCTGCCAGGAATTTTATGCTTTGAGATCACAACTGTGTTGTATATACGTCTTTGGTTGTACACAGTGCAGTCCGGTTTCTGCAGGATTGTTATAAAGAAACCCTATTTCTTTCAGGTATATTCGGTCAAAGAGTCGTCTATTTCTTAAGGTGAAAATTCCCATTCAGTAATCGTGTAATTTTGGCCTCCGTCAGTCGTGGCATGATGAATACTAACTGACAGAACCACATCACTTCACCGGTGGTGCACGATGACGTCACAGGAAACGACCCGAATGAGATTGCCAGGTGTGGAGGGGAATCCCCGCGCTATAGACAGATCAACGGTTACACATTCAAACATGGACTAATAAGTATCAAAATCTGTAGAATAGTATGTATGAAATTCCTTTGGAATTCCTTTGGAATAGTGAGGAAGCAATGTAGTCAGTTCTTCTATGTTTACATTAGTTGCATAGGTAAAGGAGAATTGTTTTGTTACTGTAAACAGAGTGATGAACTAGGTCACGTCGCCAGACGGTATACAATGAAGGCAGTCAGCTGTATCCACGGGTTAACATAAACACACAAGCACGTTTGTTATTGAAGGTAACCCAGGCCCGTCTCTGTAGTTTTGATAGGCTATGTAGTGGATAAACATATAAGCTCTATTTACATCGTGTAGGCTTCATTTCACGTGTAACCATGCCTGCTGACGGATGGAAAGCATATTTGTCTAGTATTTATTTGAATCCCAAACACCCAGCCTCCTTTTCTTGCCCTACTAAGTTGTATCACATTGTGAAAAAGGAGGGGAAATTTGATATTAGTTTGCATCACATAAAGAAGTGGTTGACATCCCAAGATGCCTATTCGCTTCAGCGACCTTTGAGCTACAAGTTCAAGCGGAACAGAGTGGTGGCTTCAGGCCTCAATGCTCGATGGGTTATTGACTTGGCTGATGTATCTAATATAGCCTCGGACAATGACGGTGTGAAATACTTACTCATAGCTATAAATGTATTAACACGTTTTCTGTGGGTCGAGCCCCTTAAAAATAAAACACCGGATGCGGTAATTAAGGCCTTGAAGAAGATATTTTCCCGCGCTACCCTGCCACAAATTATACGATCAGATAAAGGGCGAGAATTTGATAATAAGAAAATGAGGTCTTATTTAAGAAACAAGGGCATCACTTACTATGTCACACAGAATGAAACCAAGGCTTCTTATGCCGAGAGAGTGATACGGCCCCTCAAGACCACGATGTACAGATATTTCACCTACAAACAAACGTACCATTACCTGAACATTTTGCAAGATCTCGTCCGGGATTATAACCACAGACCTCGCAGATCATTGAATGAAAGATCACCCTCAGATATTAATCTGACTAATGAAGCTTTAGTATGGAAGGAACAATACATTGACACTTTGATAAAGCCAGTCAAATCGAAAGCTGAAATCAAACAGAAGTCAATGAAGAAACCCTTTAAATTTAAAGTGGGCGATCAAGTAAGACTCTCTCATTTGAGACATACATTTCAAAGAGACTATCAAGAAAAAAAATGGACTGAGGAAATCTTTATTATCAGAAAAAGGTTCTATCGTGATGGTATGCCTATCTATCTGTTGAAAGATATGGCTGATGATCTAGTTCAAGGTAGTTTCTATGCAAATGAACTACAGAGAGTAAACAAGCCCGCAGACACAGTGTGGAGAGTGGAGAAGGTTTTGAAGAAAAGGAAGCGAGCTGGCGTAAAAGAGGTGTTTGTGAAATGGATGGGTTATCCCAAAAAGTTTAACAGTTGGATCCCAGAAACTGATCTTCAGAGTATATAAGGGTCTTCCTCTTGTTCCAGTGTCAGTTGCATTTCAATCGTCATGGAGTCCACATCGTGTCCTGATTATGGGAGACAGTTCTCTAGAAATGATAATATGCATAGACATAGGAGACAAATGCATTCACATCCTCCTCCTCCTCCTCCTCCTCCGGGAACCTTACCTCCTCCTCCTCCCACGTCTCCTCCTCCTCCACCTCCTTCAGCACTTAAAGACACGTTCTACTTTACCATTCCATCCAATACTGTGGTGGTGGGTCCAAGTGGAAGTGGCAAGACTATGTTTGTGTACAACATTTTACTATCGCATCCAACCTGTACCCAATAACATTATCTGGTGTTATACGGAGTGGCAGCCTCTGTATCAGATAATCAGTGGACAGTTACCCTATGTGACGTTTGTGAAGGGGATTCCTTACAACCTGCACGAGGATAACTATCTGGATGCACGGAATAACAACATGATTGTACTGGATGACCTCATGTCAGAGGCTAAAGATGATAAACGCATCTCCCAACTGTTCACCCGAACCTCTCACCATAAGAATGTCATTATTTTCTTACTGTTACAAAATCTGTTTCCCAGAGGTAAGAAATCACGTGACATTGCTTTGAATTCTCATTACGTGACACTGTTTAATTCCCCTGTGGACAGACATCAAGTCACTTTGTTTGCCAGGCGCTTCTATCCCAACAATACCGGCTGGTTTATGTCTGTGTATAAAGAAGCTGTTGAAAAACCCTATGGCAATCTGACAATCGACTTGCGTCCTACTACCTTGGAATCAGGAAGACTACAACCTAATGTACTTGAAACAGTCAACACCCCACAGCCTATAAAAGAGGAGCAGGCTGTCAATCAGTATCATTTGAAGCCAGACACCAGAAGAGATCACATCTCAGAAGTAGCCGCTCCAGTTGACAGTGAATCAGAGGACGACACTACTGATACAACTATGCCTTCCTGTGATGAGTGTGGTATTGGGTTTGAAAATAATCATGACCTTTAGCGTCATGTCAGATCGTGGTGCCCTGAGAATGGAGGGGGACCCCTAAGGAAACGACTTAAAATTCAGACAGATGATGAGAGCGATGTTAGACAGCCTACAATGACCTCTAAATTCAGTGAAGCTGATAAAGAGTGGGAGGTGAAAGGCTTAGAATACATGTGGGAACAAACACTAAAAACGTGCAGGGAAGAAATCTGGAAGAAGAAATAAGAGTATGAATATGAAGGGAAGAGTGAGAGATGGATTGAAAAGAAATTGACGAAGTTCTGGAAAACTACTTTTCTTGAAAGACTCGTGACAGCCATTAGATATATAGGCTACTTTGGAAACGGGCCTCTCTTCAAACCTATTCTAGAGAATATGAAACAGTTAGACCCTGACATGGATCGCAATGAAATGGATCATAAAATCACTCGGTGGATGAAACCAGTGGTCAAAGATATCCTCTCTTATGTGGACATGTCACTGGCCGAGGGTTTAGAACTGGTCAACCAATCTGATGATGACCAAGATTATGATAATGAGGATGAGGATATTGATTAATAATTGAACTATTGTACATTAAAACACTATTCTGTAATTATGTGACTGTACATATCATATTGTTATATGTATTGTATTTATGTAATAAAAATATGTATATAGAATATACTAGTTTTTTGTTCTTTTTGTTCTTTTTGTTTTTTGCAACCTTTCATCAGTTGCAGTCATTTTTAAAGTTTCAGGAACTTTAAGCTTTTCATAGATGAGATGTGCTTCATCCAACAAGCATTCAATAAAATGCGAAATCACCACAGGGCCTCTATAGGTCACTGCAGGTTTTGTACCAGTAGGTTTTGAACAGACCACTTTGTAACAGAACCAGGAAGGCTCATGTTTCTGATAAACAGTCGTGTTTGATGTGTTATTTTCAGTTTGTTTAACTTTCCTGGTGATTGCCTCAAAATCTGCATAAATAACATAGGGGACTTTTAGCTGTTTCTGAACAGATAAAAATCTAATCCATTTGTTGTGTTCACCAGGTAATCGGATTTTCTGGTGTGTGTGTGTGTGTGTGCGTGCGTGCGTGTGTGATCGGTGTCAAGGGTTGTATGAACACACTAACAAGGTGACCAAGTCAGTGTCGAGATTCTGTTGGTCTGTGGCAGTCCCTCTGATGGTAAATTGAAATAATGTGTTTCCTTATCAGTCGCTGTGTGGGAATCAGCCGCAAGGTGTGGGTGTTTGTGTGACAGGTCACGTGACAAAGACAGACGTACCCATGAAGAGTGAACGAGTGAGTTGGGTTTAACACCGCTTTGAACAGTATTACAGTTACATCGCAGCGTGTCAGCTTAATCTGGGAGGAAAGCCTGAAGTGAAACCCACGAGCACGGGTATAACCTGGATTCCAACCCACAATCATAGGTTTCTGGCGTGCCCAAGGGATGCCAATCTGCACAGCAAATCGCGGTGCCTTACATGACTGGGCCACCCGTGTTACAGCAACCCTGTAAGGGCAGCTCCACACCAGAATGAGAGACATCAACACAAAAGCATTGAATCTTGTGGGTATTCGGGTTAAAACAGGTACCTAGCAAACTCTTGGATTGACAGGCCAGCCTCATCTGCTGTCTCCTTCCAGGCTAAAGATGCAATGGACACACAGCAGTGAGTACAACTTTATTTCATCACATAGAATATCACAGTCATACGTCATCACACTCAGACACACACAGCTTCACACAACAAAACACCTTCCCTGATGACACCTCCTATGGCGACACCTGTAATGGCGACACCTCTCACAACATCTTACCATCATGACACATGTCTTTGTAATGGCTAAAGCTCTGAAAAAATGGATTGAGTACCAGTGTCTTATATCCCTGTACTCTCCAGAGCGTGCTCTCCGATCCTCTGGTGGAACTCTACTGTATCAGCCTCTGTCTACTTCTGCTATGTCTGACCGTGCCTTCTCCTTTTGCAGTCCACAGTTATGGAACTCTTTGCCTTTGAATCTGAGAAACTCTGCTTCTAAGGAAACGTTTAAGTCTCTCCTCAAAACCCACTTCTTCACTTCAGCTTTTCAATAGATCTCCTGATTGTTGGCATATGTACATAGACATTACTTTTTAACTTTGTCACAGCGCCAGTGAGCAACTGTCGATGGATATTAGGCGCTTTACAAATCAATTATTATTATTATTATTAAAGTCTTAAAGATCTTGGTGAACCCAATTTCAATGGTAAATTGACATCTTGTCTTTAGTTCTTACACTCATGTAAGTCAACATGTATCCAGACACTGCTTCTCTTCCATGTGGGCAACATGACTGTGATAAGTAATGATGGGAGTTACCTCCCCTGGTCAGGATCACAAGTCCTTGACATTGGACTGGAGTCATCTATTGATAAGCCTGACCCGTGGTCCAAATGTGAGTGTCGGAGCAGGTAGTCACTTTGGCATTCCTAGCACGGACCTGACACGCGCATGTCGGAGGAGGAGGAACTGTGCGAAGGTGAAGAGGCTGGAACAGGCCCAGTAGAAACACATACTCTGCAACATGATGGAGGATGGAGTTAGAGAGTTCTACATCGATTTCACCAATATTCTGTCTCAGGACAAAGTGGGACACCACATGGGACACCACAAATGATCTTTGTGGATAGCACCCTTACAGGCCAACCCTGGTCATCAGTGTGACACAGTAACAACCACCCCGCTACCCTGCTCAGAGACCCCGACACCCCTAGCTACCCTGCTCAGAGACCCTGACACCCCCAGCTACCCTGCTCAGAGACCCTGACACCCCTAGATACCCTGCTCAGAGACCTTGACACCCCTAGATACCCTGCTCGGAGACCTTGACACCCCTAGTTACCCTGCTCAGAGACCTCGACACCCCTAGCTACCGTGCTCGGTGACCCTGACACCCCTAGTTACCCTGCTCGGAGACCCTGACATCCCTAGCTACCCTGCTCGGGGACCTTGACACCCCTAGATACCCTGCTCGGGGACCCTGACACCCCTAGCTACCCTGCTCGGGGACCCTGACACCCCTAGCTACCCTGCTCGGGGACCTTGACACCCCTAGATACCCTGCTCGGGGACCCTGACACCCCTAGATACCCTGCTCAGAGACCTTGACACACCTAGCTTCTCTGCTTGGAGACCCTGACACCCCTAGATACCCTGCTCAGAGACCCCGACAACCCCAGCTACCCTACTCGGAGACCCTGACACCCCTAGATACCCTGCATGGTGCACCCAGCTAACCTGCTTGGAGCCCCCCCCCCCCCCCCCCCCTCCCCCCTCACCGACACCCTGCTAGCCCCCAACCCAGCTACCCTGCTTCACGATATTCCATATCACAAGAACTAATGTGGCCTTCACACTTCAAATGAATAACTGGTGATACTGCCAATCAAATACCATACACCTTTGTGAGTACATGGCATATATCAACCGTATTTGAAATATTAAGCATCCTTCTCAAATAAGCTTTTACATTTCATCATGGTAATATGTTTGGTAGCCAGGGAATAGTATTTGGTTTCTATGAGTACGAGTATGTGAGACCAGGGTATCAAGGTGCCTCCTCCAAGACACGGAAAACAGCGCCACCTACACAAGGAACTATGGCTGCTATAGGAACCAGGATCACAGTTGTTCCGCGCCAAACATTTTTGGCCACCTTCTGCAGCCTTGTTGGGGTCTGTATCTTAAACTGCATCTGAAACAGAAACACCACGCTGCCTTCAGTAACTGTAACACATGTTCAACTGATACCTTTCTCAGATATATCGAAAGCAGCATTCGTTTACAGTGGTCGCAGATATAATGTCCCAGCTCTGGCATGAAGAGATATTACGTCTCAGCTCCGGCATGATGAGACATAATGTCTCACCTCCGGCATGATGAGATGTTATGTCTCACCTCTGGCATGATGAGGAACATAATGTCTCACCTCCGGCATGATGAGATATAATGTCTCAACTCCGGCATGATGGGATATAATGTCTCATATCCAGCATGATGGGATATAATGTCTCACCTCCACCATGATGAGATGTAATGTCTCACCTCCGGCATGATGAGACATAATGTCTCACCTCCGGCATGATGAGATGTAATGTCTCACCTCCGGCATGATGAGATGTAATGTCTCACCTACGACATGATGAGACATAATGTCTCAACTCCGGCATGATGGGATATAATGTCTCATATCCAGCATGATGGGATATAATGTCTCACCTCCACCATGATGAGATATAATGTCTCATATCCAGGATGATGAGACATAATGTCTCACCTTCGACATGATGAGATATAATGTCTCACCTTTGGCATGATGAGACATAATGTCTCACCTTCCACATGATGTGATATAATGTCTCACCTCAAGCATGATGAGATGTAATGTCTCAGCTCTGGCATAATAACACATAATGTCTCACCTACTGCATGATGAGAAACAACATCTCACCTCCGGCATGATGAGTAACAATGTCTCACCTCCGACATGATGAGATATATTGTCTCACCTCAGGCATGATGAGATATAATGTCTCACCTCAAGTATGATGAGATATAATGTCTCACCTCCAGCATGATGAGATTTATTGTCTTACCTCCGACATGATGAGATATAATGTCTCACCGCCAGCATGATGATACATTGTCTCACTTCTGGCGATATGAGATATAATGTCTCACCTCCAGCATGATGAGACATAATGTCTCACCTCCGGCATGATGAGATATTATGTCTCACCTCCGGCATGATGGGATATTATGTCTCACCTCCGGCATGATGAGACATAATGTCTCAGCTCTGGCATGATGAGGAACAATGTCTCACCTCTGGCATGATGAGTAATAATGTCTCACCTCGAGCATTATGAGATATAATGTATGACCTCCACCATGATGAGATATAGTGTCTCACCTCCGGCATGATGTGATATAATGTCTCATATCCAGCATGATGGGATATGTCTCATCTCCAGTATGATGAGACATAATGTCTCACCTTCCACATGATGTGATATAATGTCTCACCTCAAGCATGATGAGATGTAATGTCTCACCTCCGGCATGATGAGATGTAATGTCTCACCTACGACATGATGAGACATAATGTCTCAACTCCGGCATGATGGGATATAATGTCTCATATCCAGCATGATGGGATATAATGTCTCACCTCCACCATGATGAGATGTAATGTCTCACCTCCGGCATGATGAGACATAATGTCTCACCTCCGGCATGATGAGATGTAATGTCTCACCTCCGGCATGATGAGATGTAATGTCTCACCTACGACATGATGAGACATAATGTCTCAACTCCGGCATGATGGGATATAATGTCTCATATCCAGCATGATGGGATATAATGTCTCACCTCCACCATGATGAGATATAATGTCTCATATCCAGGATGATGAGACATAATGTCTCACCTTCGACATGATGAGATATAATGTCTCACCTTTGGCATGATGAGACATAATGTCTCACCTTCCACATGATGTGATATAATGTCTCACCTCAAGCATGATGAGATGTAATGTCTCAGCTCTGGCATAATAACACATAATGTCTCACCTACTGCATGATGAGAAACAACATCTCACCTCCGGCATGATGAGTAACAATGTCTCACCTCCGACATGATGAGATATATTGTCTCACCTCAGGCATGATGAGATATAATGTCTCACCTCAAGTATGATGAGATATAATGTCTCACCTCCAGCATGATGAGATTTATTGTCTTACCTCCGACATGATGAGATATAATGTCTCACCGCCAGCATGATGATACATTGTCTCACTTCTGGCGATATGAGATATAATGTCTCACCTCCAGCATGATGAGACATAATGTCTCACCTCCGGCATGATGAGATATTATGTCTCACCTCCGGCATGATGGGATATTATGTCTCACCTCCGGCATGATGAGACATAATGTCTCAGCTCTGGCATGATGAGGAACAATGTCTCACCTCTGGCATGATGAGTAATAATGTCTCACCTCGAGCATTATGAGATATAATGTATGACCTCCACCATGATGAGATATAGTGTCTCACCTCCGGCATGATGTGATATAATGTCTCATATCCAGCATGATGGGATATGTCTCATCTCCAGTATGATGAGACATAATGTCTCACCTTCCACATGATGTGATATAATGTCTCACCTCAAGCATGATGAGATGTAATGTCTCACCTCAAGCATGATGAGATGTAATGTCTCAGCTCTGGCATAATAACACATAATGTCTCACCTCCTGCATGATGAGAAACAACATCTCACCTCCGGCATGATGAGAAACAATGTCTCACCTCAAGTATGATGAGATATAATGTCTCACCTCGGGCATGATGAGATATAATGTCTCACCTCCAGCATGATGAGATATATTGTCTTACCTCCAGCATGATGATACATTGTCTCACCTCTGGCATTATGAGATATAATGTCTTACCTCCGACATGATGAGATATAATGTCTCACCTACAGCATGATGAGATATTATGTCCCATCTCTGGCATGATGAGATATAATGTCTCACCTCCAGCATGATGAGACACCTCCGGCATGATGAGATATTATGTCTCACCTCCGGCATGATGAGACATAATGTCTCAGCTCTGGCATGATGAGAAACAATGTCTCACCTCTGGCATGATGAGATGTAATGTCCTACCTCCGGCATGATGAGATATAATGTCTCACCTCCAGCATTATGAGTAATAATGTCTCACCTCCAGCATGATGAGATATAATGTCTCACCTCCAGCAGGCTGAGATATTATGTCTCACCCCCGGCATGATGAGACACCTCCGGCATGATGAGATATTATGTCTCACCTCCAGCATGATGAGTAATAATCTCACCTCCGGCATGATGAGATATAATGTCTCACCTCCATCATGCTGAGATATAATGTCTCACCTCCAGCATGATGAGATATAATGTCTCACCTCCATCATGCTGAGATATAATGTCTCACCTCTGGCATGATGTGATATAATGTCTCACTTTCGGCATGATGAGATATAATGTCTCACCTCCAGCAGGATGACACATAATGAAGCACCTCAGGCTTGATGAGATATAATGTCTCACCTCCAGCAGGCTGAGATATAATGTCTCACCTCCAGCAGGATGAGATACAATGTCTCACCTCGGCATTATGAGATATAATGTCCCACCTCTGGCATGATGAGATATAATGTCTCACCTCCGGCATGATGAGATGTTTTCATGGTTATGTCTCACCTCCGGCATGATGAGATATTATGTCTCACCTCTGGCATGATGAGATACAATGTCTCACCTCCGGCATGATTAGATGTTATGTCTCATCCCCGGCATGATGAGATATAATGTGTCACCTCTGGCATGATGAGATGTTATCATGGTTATGTCTCACCTCCGGCATGATGAGATATTATGTCTCACCCCCGGCATGATGAGATATTATGTCTCACCCCCGGCATGATGAGATATAATCGTCCCACCTCGGGCATGATGAGACACAATGTCTCACCTCTGGCATGATTAGATGTTATGTCTCACCCCCGGCATGATGAGATATAATGTCTCACCCCGGCATGATGAGCTATAATCGTCCCACCTCTGGCATGATGAGATACAATGTCTCACCTCGGCATTATGAGATATAATGTTCCACCTCTGGCATGATAAGATATAATGTCTCATCTCCGGCATGATGAGATGTTATGTCTCACCTCTGGCATGATGAGATACAATGTCTCACCTCCGGCATGATTAGATGTTATGTCTCATCCCCGGCATGATGAGATATAATGTGTCACCTCTGGCATGATGAGATGTTATCATGGTTATGTCTCACCTCCGGCATGATGAGATATTATGTCTCACCCCCGGCATGATGAGATATAATCGTCCCACCTCTGGCATGATGAGATTATAATGTCTCACCTCCAACATGATGAGGTTGATGAGGCCGACAGACAGAGGTAGTATGAAGGTGGGGTCGGGCACGGTGAGGTCTGGGAACCAGAGCATCCCCTCTGTCATCAGCTCGGGACACAGGACGGGAGACTCTGTCCAGTAAACATGTAACAGCATTAGACCACATAACCCAACACAACAAGATGGGGACTGTAGTCTGGTTACAATTATCATGATTATGCCAGCACTAACTAAATAATATGACAAACAATATATAAAAGTTGTGAAACTGACCGAGGCCGATGGCTGGCACGGATCCACTCATATTGCGCAGCGCAAAGGACATGCACAGCCACACCGGCAGCTGCACGATCTGCACCACATGACCCTTGAGTGGGTGGCAGTTCTCACGCACATAGATGTCATGAATCAACCTCTTCATCTGAAAATAGTCATCTACGATTAGATACAGACTCCATCTACAGATCTTCTCATCTTCAAAATATACTGGAGGCCTCACATACCAGATAAAAACTTTGATTGCTGAAATAAAAATAACAATATGAACACATTTGCCATAAGAGCTTAACCCCAATCAGTGTGAATGTCAATCAATATCATAACAGAGGACATCAAACATAAGTTTCACACATTATTCCCATGCAGGGAATCAAACGCAGACCTTCAGATGAATGAGCTGACACTGTAACCATTGGGCTCCTCTACCCCTTGCTTGGGTCGGTTAAATGACTTGAAAGTTGGGTCACGTGAGTAGAGCAGAGTAGTGGGAAAAGTACTAATTCTCTTGGAGGATGTTGATTACATGTCCAGTTACCATGCTAACATGTATCTATTTCAGAATGTTTTGTGGATATGGCGTTAGCAGCGTCTCACAGAACACATTGACGGGAAGGACTGACACAATCAGTCAATACATGATTATATACACAGCCAGAGTGAACCACGCTGCACACCTGGGCGAGCGAGAGTCTTCCACATCCAGAGGTTTACTGTATACTTTCAATGACATGCCATGTTACATTTCCAGAGATGCTGATGTTTACTGTATACTTTCAATGACATGCCATGTTACATTTCCAGAGATGCTGATGTTTTCTGTATACTTCCAATGACATGCCATGTTACATTTCCAGAGATACTGATGTTTACTGTATACTTCCAATGACATGCCATGTTACATTTCCAGAGATGCTGATGTTTACTGTATACTTCCAATGACATGCCATGTTACATTTCCAGAGATGCTGATGTTTTCTGTATACTTCCAATGACATGCCATGTTACATTTCCAGAGATACTGATGTTTACTGTATACTTTCAATGACATGCCATGTTACATTTCCAGAGATGCTGATGTTTTCTGTATACTTCCAATGACATGCCATGTTACATTTCCAGAGATGCTGATGTTTTCTGTATACTTCCAATGACATGCCATGTTACATTTCCAGAGATGCTGATGTTTTCTGTATACTTTCAATGACATGCCATGTTACATTTCCAGAGATGCTGATGTTTTCTGTATACTTTCAATGACATGCCATGTTACATTTCCAGAGATGCTGATGTTTTCTGTATACTTCCAATGATATGCCATGTTACATTTCCAGAGATGCTGATGTTTTCTGTATACTTCCAATGACATGCCATGTTACATTTCCAGAGATGCTGATGTTTTCTGTATACTTCCAATGACATGCCATGTTACATTTCCAGAGATGCTGATGTTTACTGTATACTTCCAATGACATGCCATGTTACATTTCCAGAGATGCTGATGTTTACTGTATACTTCCAATGACATGCCATGTTACATTTCCAGAGATGCTGATGTTTTCTGTATACTTCCAATGACATGCCATGTTACATTTCCAGAGATGCTGATGTTTAATTTACTGTATACTTCCAATGACATGCCATGTTACATTTCCAGAGATACTGATGTTTACTGTATACTTTCAAAGACATGCCATGTTACATTTCCAGAGATGCTGATGTTTACTGTATACTTTCAATGACATGCCATGTTACATTTCCAGAGATGCTGATGTTTACTGTATACTTCCAATGACATGCCATGTTACATTTCCAGAGATGCTGATGTTTTCTGTATACTTCCAATCACATGCCATGTTACATTTCCAGAGATGCTGATGTTTTCTGTATACTTTCAATGACATGCCATGTTACATTTCCAGAGATGCTGATGTTTACTGTATACTTCCAATGACATGCCATGTTACATTTCCAGAGATGCTGATGTTTACTGTATACTTTCAATGACATGCCATGTTACATTTCCAGAGATGCTGATGTTTACTGTATACTTTCAATGACATGCCATGTTACATTTCCAGAGATACTGATGTTTACTGTATACTTCCAATGACATGCCATGTTACATTTCCAGAGATGCTGATGTTTTCTGTATACTTCCAATGACATGCCATGTTACATTTCCAGAGATGCTGATGGTTTCTGTATACTTCCAATGACATGCCATGTTACATTTCCAGAGATGCTGATGTTTACTGTATACTTCCAATAACATGCCATGTTACATTTCCAGAGATGCTGATGTTTACTGTATACTTCCAATGACATGCCATGTTACATTTCCAGAGATGCTGATGTTTACTGTATACTTTCAATGACATGCCATGTTACATTTCCAGAGATACTGATGTTTACTGTATACTTTCAATGACATGCCATGTTACATTTCCAGAGATGCTGATGTTTTCTGTATACTTCCAATGACATGCCATGTTACATTTCCAGAGATGCTGATGTTTTCTGTATACTTCCAATGACATGCCATGTTACATTTCCAGAGATGCTGATGTTTTCTGTATACTTTCAATGACATGCCATGTTACATTTCCAGAGATGCTGATGTTTTCTGTATACTTTCAATGACATGCCATGTTACATTTCCAGAGATGCTGATGTTTTCTGTATACTTCCAATGATATGCCATGTTACATTTCCAGAGATGCTGATGTTTTCTGTATACTTCCAATGACATGCCATGTTACATTTCCAGAGATGCTGATGTTTTCTGTATACTTCCAATGACATGCCATGTTACATTTCCAGAGATGCTGATGTTTACTGTATACTTCCAATGACATGCCATGTTACATTTCCAGAGATGCTGATGTTTACTGTATACTTCCAATGACATGCCATGTTACATTTCCAGAGATGCTGATGTTTTCTGTATACTTCCAATGACATGCCATGTTACATTTCCAGAGATGCTGATGTTTAATTTACTGTATACTTCCAATGACATGCCATGTTACATTTCCAGAGATGCTGATGTTTACTGTATACTTCCAATGACATGCCATGTTACATTTCCAGAGATACTGATGTTTACTGTATACTTCCAATGACATGCCATGTTACATTTCCAGAGATGCTGATGTTTACTGTATACTTTCAATGACATGCCATGTTACATTTCCAGAGATGCTGATGTTTACTGTATACTTTCAATGACATGCCATGTTACATTTCCAGAGATGCTGATGTTTACTGTATACTTCCAATGACATGCCATGTTACATTTCCAGAGATGCTGATGTTTCTGTATACTTTCAATGACATGCCATGTTACATTTCCAGAGATGCTGATGTTTACTGTATACTTCCAATGACATGCCATGTTACATTTCCAGAGATGCTGATGTTCACTGTATACTTTCAATGACATGCCATGTTACATTTCCAGAGATGCTGATGTTTACTGTATACTTTCAATGACATGCCATGTTACATTTCCAGAGATGCTGATGTTTACTGTATACTTCCAATGACATGCCATGTTACATTTCCAGAGATGCTGATGTTTTCTGTATACTTCCAATCACATGCCATGTTACATTTCCAGAGATGCTGATGTTTTCTGTATACTTTCAATGACATGCCATGTTACATTTCCAGAGATGCTGATGTTTACTGTATACTTCCAATGACATGCCATGTTACATTTCCAGAGATGCTGATGTTTACTGTATACTTTCAATGACATGCCATGTTACATTTCCAGAGATGCTGATGTTTACTGTATACTTTCAATGACATGCCATGTTACATTTCCAGAGATACTGATGTTTACTGTATACTTCCAATGACATGCCATGTTACATTTCCAGAGATGCTGATGTTTTCTGTATACTTCCAATGACATGCCATGTTACATTTCCAGAGATGCTGATGGTTTCTGTATACTTCCAATGACATGCCATGTTACATTTCCAGAGATGCTGATGTTTACTGTATACTTCCAATGACATGCCATGTTACATTTCCAGAGATGCTGATGTTTACTGTATACTTCCAATGACATGCCATGTTACATTTCCAGAGATGCTGATGTTTACTGTATACTTTCAATGACATGCCATGTTACATTTCCAGAGATGCTGATGTTTTCTGTATACTTCCAATGACATGCCATGTTACATTTCCAGAGATGCTGATGTTTACTGTATACTTTCAATGACATGCCATGTTACATTTCCAGAGATGCTGATGTTTACTGTATACTTTCAATGACATGCCATGTTACATTTCCAGAGATACTGATGTTTACTGTATACTTTCAATGACATGCCATGTTACATTTCCAGAGATGCTGATGTTTTCTGTATACTTCCAATGACATGCCATGTTACATTTCCAGAGATACTGATGTTTACTGTATACTTTCAATGACATGCCATGTTACATTTCCAGAGATACTGATGTTTTCTGTATACTTCCAATGACATGCCATGTTACATTTCCAGAGATGCTGATGGTTTCTGTATACTTTCAATGACATGCCATGTTACATTTCCAGAGATGCTGATGTTTACTGTATACTTCCAATGACATGCCATGTTACATTTCCAGAGATGCTGATGTTTACTGTATACTTTCAATGACATGCCATGTTACATTTCCAGAGATGCTGATGTTTACTGTATACTTCCAATGACATGCCATGTTACATTTCCAGAGATGCTGATGTTTTCTGTATACTTTCAATGACATGCCATGTTACATTTCCAGAGATGCTGATGTTTACTGTATACTTCCAATGACATGCCATGTTACATTTCCAGAGATGCTGATGTTTACTGTATACTTCCAATGACATGCCATGTTACATTTCCAGAGATGCTGATGTTTACTGTATACTTTCAATGACATGCCATGTTACATTTCCAGAGATGCTGATGTTTACTGTATACTTTCAATGACATGCCATGTTACATTTCCAGAGATACTGATGTTTACTGTATACTTTCAATGACATGCCATGTTACATTTCCAGAGATGCTGATGTTTTCTGTATACTTCCAATGACATGCCATGTTACATTTCCAGAGATGCTGATGTTTACTGTATACTTCCAATGACATGCCATGTTACATTTCCAGAGATGCTGTTGTTTACTGTATACTTTCAATGACATGCCATGTTACATTTCCAGAGATGCTGATGTTTTCTGTATACTTTCAATGACATGCCATGTTACATTTCCAGAGATGCTGATGTTTTCTGTATACTTCCAATGACATGCCATGTTACATTTCCAGAGATACTGATGTTTACTGTATACTTTCAATGACATGCCATGTTACATTTCCAGAGATGCTGATGTTTACTGTATACTTTCAATGACATGCCATGTTACATTTCCAGAGATGCTGATGTTTTCTGTATACTTCCAATGACATGCCATGTTACATTTCCAGAGATACTGATGTTTTCTGTATACTTCCAATGACATGCCATGTTACATTTCCAGAGATGCTGATGTTTACTGTATACTTTCAATGACATGCCATGTTACATTTCCAGAGATGCTGATGTTTTCTGTATACTTCCAATGACATGCCATGTTACATTTCCAGAGATGCTGATGTTTTCTGTATACTTCCAATGACATGCCATGTTACATTTCCAGAGATGCTGATGTTTACTGTATACTTCCAATGACATGCCATGTTACATTTCCAGAGATGCTGATGTTTACTGTATACTTTCAATGACATGCCATGTTACATTTCCAGAGATACTGATGTTTACTGTATACTTTCAATGACATGCCATGTTACATTTCCAGAGATACTGATGTTTACTGTATACTTTCAATGACATGCCATGTTACATTTCCAGAGATGCTGATGTTTTCTGTATACTTCCAATGACATGCCATGTTACATTTCCAGAGATGCTGATGTTTTCTGTATACTTCCAATGACATGCCATGTTACATTTCCAGAGATGCTGATGTTTTCTGTATACTTCCAATGACATGCCATGTTACATTTCCAGAGATACTGATGTTTACTGTATACTTCCAATGACATGCCATGTTACATTTCCAGAGATGCTGATGTTTTCTGTATACTTCCAATGACATGCCATGTTACATTTCCAGAGATGCTGATGTTTACTGTATACTTCCAATGACATGCCATGTTACATTTCCAGAGATGCTGATGTTTTCTGTATACTTCCAATCACATGCCATGTTACATTTCCAGAGATGCTGATGTTTACTGTATACTTCCAATGACATGCCATGTTACATTTCCAGAGATGCTGATGTTTACTGTATACTTTCAATGACATGCCATGTTACATTTCCAGAGATGCTGATGTTTTCTGTATACTTTCAATGACATGCCATGTTACATTTCCAGAGATACTGATGTTTTCTGTATACTTCCAATGACATGCCATGTTACATTTCCAGAGATGCTGATGTTTACTGTATACTTCCAATGACATGCCATGTTACATTTCCAGAGATGCTGAGGTTTACTGTATACTTCCAATGACATGCCATGTTACATTTCCAGAGATGCTGATGTTTTCTGTATACTTCCAATGACATGCCATGTTACATTTCCAGAGATGCTGAGGTTTACTGTATACTTCCAATGACATGCCATGTTACATTTCCAGAGATGCTGATGTTTTCTGTATACTTCCAATGACATGCCATGTTACATTTCCAGAGATGCTGAGGTTTACTGTATACTTTCAATGACATGCCATGTTACATTTCCAGAGATGCTGATGTTTTCTGTATACTTTCAATGACATGCCATGTTACATTTCCAGAGATGCTGATGTTTACTGTATACTTCCAATGACATGCCATGTTACATTTCCAGAGATGCTGATGTTTTCTGTATACTTTCAATGACATGCCATGTTACATTTCCAGAGATACTGATGTTTACTGTATACTTCCAATGACATGCCATGTTACATTTCCAGAGATACTGATGTTTACTGTATACTTCCAATGACATGCCATGTTACATTTCCAGAGATGCTGATGTTTTCTGTATACTTCCAATGACATGCCATGTTACATTTCCAGAGATGCTGATGTTTACTGTATACTTCCAATGACATGCCATGTTACATTTCCAGAGATGCTGATGTTTACTGTATACTTCCAATGACATGCCATGTTACATTTCCAGAGATGCTGATGTTTTCTGTATACTTCCAATGACATGCCATGTTACATTTCCAGAGATGCTGATGTTTACTGTATACTTCCAATGACATGCCATGTTACATTTCCAGAGATGCTGATGTTTTCTGTATACTTTCAATGACATGCCATGTTACATTTCCAGAGATGCTGATGTATTCTGTATACTTCCAATGACATGCCATGTTACATTTCCAGAGATACTGATGTTTACTGTATACTTTCAATGACATGCCATGTTACATTTCCAGAGATGCTGATGTTTACTGTATACTTTCAATGACATGCCATGTTACATTTCCAGAGATGCTGATGTTTACTGTATACTTTCAATGACATGCCATGTTACATTTCCAGAGATACTGATGTTTTCTGTATACTTTCAATGACATGCCATGTTACATTTCCAGAGATGTTGATGTTTACTGTATACTTCCAATGACATGCCATGTTACATTTCCAGAGATGCTGATGTTTACTGTATACTTTCAATGACATGCCATGTTACATTTCCAGAGATGCTGATGTTTACTGTATACTTCCAATGACATGCCATGTTACATTTCCAGAGATGCTGATGTTTACTGTATACTTTCAATGACATGCCATGTTACATTTCCAGAGATGCTGATGTTTACTGTATACTTTCAATGACATGCCATGTTACATTTCCAGAGATGCTGATGTTTTCTGTATACTTCCAATGACATGCCATGTTACATTTCCAGAGATGCTGATGTTTACTGTATACTTCCAATGACATGCCATGTTACATTTCCAGAGATGCTGATGTTTTCTGTATACTTCCAATGACATGCCATGTTACATTTCCAGAGATGCTGATGTTTACTGTATACTTTCAATGACATGCCATGTTACATTTCCAGAGATGCTGATGTTTACTGTATACTTCCAATGACATGCCATGTTACATTTCCAGAGATGCTGATGTTTTCTGTATACTTCCAATGACATGCCATGTTACATTTCCAGAGATGCTGATGTTTACTGTATACTTTCAATGACATGCCATGTTACATTTCCAGAGATGCTGATGTTTACTGTATACTTCCAATGACATGCCATGTTACATTTCCAGAGATGCTGATGTTTACTGTATACTTTCAATGACATGCCATGTTACATTTCCAGAGATGCTGATGTTTTTACACCTTGCACGAACATGCTGCATGCTGACTTAATAAAAGCAGGACATGTCTGAAGTTGTGAAGCAAAATGGGAGATAAACTTTGTGACTGGGAAACACTTTTGTTTGGAGGTAAATTCCTCAGGTATAAGAATTAGCAGAATAAAGTCAGTGACCCCTACGAGGATTCCGGCTAAGACTATAGGTCCCTAGCAACCGAAGCTGGTAGTGAGACTATAGGCCCCTAGCAACCGAAGCTGGTAGTAAGACTATAGGTCCCTAGCAACCGAAGCTGGTAGTAAGACTATAGGTCCCTAGTAACCGAAGCTGGTAGTAAGACTATAGGTCCCTAGCAACCAAAGCTGGTAGTAAGACTATAGGTCCCTAGCAACCGAAGCTGGTAGTAAGACTATAGGTCCCTAGCAACCGAAGCTGGTAGTAAGACAATAGGTCCCTAGCAACCGAAGCTGGTAGTAAGACTATAGGCCCCTAGCAACCGAAGCTGGTAGTAAGACAATAGGTCCCTAGCAACCGAAGCTGGTAGTAAGACAATAGGTCCCTAGCAACCGAAGGTGGTAGTAAGACTATAGGTCCCTGGCAACCGAAGCTGGTAGTAAGACAATAGGTCCCTAGCAACCGAAGCTGGTAGTAAGACTATAGGTCCCTAGTAACCGAAGCTGGTAGTAAGACTATAGGTCCCCAGCAACCGAAGCTGGTAGTAAGACAATAGGTCCCTAGCAACCGAAGCTGGTAGTAAGACTATAGGTCCCTGGCAACCGAAGCTGGTAGTAAGAGGGGATTAAATGGATAGCGTGGTCAGGCTCAGAGATTTGGTTGATTGTGTAACTTGTATCGAGCAGTGTTTAACTACACTCGCCAACACGCTTGCATACACTCGCATATACACACACATTTTATTCTTATTTTTGTGTGACTATTTTTTGAAAATATACCAGGTAAAACTTATTACAGTAATAAATAGATAATAGTCTAATAATACAAATCAAATTGATGATAGGTCCAGCTGTGGGTCTACAGTTAATGTTATGCTCAATATCAGCATCCCATTATAACATAGACAAAACTGAAACGGAAAGGTATACTCGTGTACATTCTTCTGATATTCCCGTCTCGCCTTCGCCTCATCCCACTTGTACATCGACATGGCCACACCAACTTCCTGCTTCAACTGCTTCGACACCGCCAACATCTCCGGCTGTAACTTCTCCACTCGGGCTCGAACTCGTGCACAATAGACGGCCAAGGGCAAGGTCACACATGCTCGCAAGGTGAAGGTTGTTATTGCAATACTGGCCCACCAGGGGAGTCCGGACCAAGTGTGGATGCTCTCTAATACACTCTGTGCAAACCCTATAGGCGGCACTTCAGGTGAAAAGAATTTGTTGTAAGTGTCTGCAGAGAAGTAACGAACTTGCTGCTGATATACGTCATGATTTGATAGGTGACATGTACTTGATAATGGTGCACACACTATAGTTCTAATATTTGCAGTTCGACATATACGATATTCACTGGCACACTTTGATGACATCATTCTCCTCTGCTGTAACGCATGTTTGGCCCATGTTGTGGGGTGGCCTCGCAAACAGGAGTAAATCTGAAACATGTTTTTAATGTCTTAAATCTGGCATCAGCTTAGTATGGAAGTTATCTTCAATGAACATTTGCACAGCGCTTGAGAAGACTGATACAAAATATTCATAATATATATTCGCTTACAATGTCAGATGGTAAAAGCAGAGCAGTACATTACTAGCTGGAACCAGAGACCATATACTGAACTATCATGCTGTTTTCTTTAAGATTTACTATCAGGGATTTTCTATATGCATTTTGGTACCCTTAATCAGAGACCATATAATAGAGGGACGGCCCTCTAGCCTTTGTGCTAAGATTTACTATCAGGGATTTTCTATATGCATTTTGGTACCCTTAATCAGAGACCATATAATAGAGGGACGGCCCTCTAGCCTTTGTGCGATACCATCAGTGCTACGGCTTGTACTGGGCAGTCTGTCCGGAAGCGAGCAGAAACGTGTTCACTGCAGTCATCGTTGTCCCCTCTTTTCCATGCAAAAGATATATTTCACAATACATATTTACAGTCATGTATTTCTTAACATTATCAACTGAGATTTGTTGGTGCCCTAAAGTATGTCGTGGTCATTGTATTTGATCACTGTGATCATGCTTTGTCATTGTCCGAGAGAGCAAAATGCCGCACATGTAAAATCGGCAAAAGGGCAGATTGTGATTGTTAATAACGGCCACTAATTCGCAGTGAAAGTCCTTGGTTACCGAGGTGCATAAAAAGGAGATATGTTAAAAATTAGTTTAGTGCCATTAACAAATTTAGGGTGGTTGCGAAATATCTGATTTTGACTCCAGAAATGCAACTAAATTTGAACTTTTCCTGAAATAATTACACCACAACACATCAACTCCAACCATCCCCTCAGAACTAATACTGGCACCATCCCCACCCTCACCAAACGAGCCATCAACCTTTCTTCTGCTGACCCCGAACCTGAGATCGAACACCTCCGCCAAGTCTTCACCCACCCCAACAATTATCCTTCTAATCTCTTCGAAAAAGTCTCCCCTCTGTACTCCATCCCACACCTAGATCTGTGACCCTTAAACCCGAATCAGCACCCTTCCGCATTGCCCTCCCGATTATAAGCAAATCCTCCCTCTAACAGCAAGCCATTATTGACACCCACTTCACCAACTCCCTCAACACTTTGCTAGGAGCCAACGGCAGGAACACAATCAAACCCCAAGAGCCTAAAGGTGTAGTCTACAAAACTGAATGCAACTGTGGATAATCTTACGTAGGTGAAACATCCCACCCAATCAACACCAGGTTCAAAGAGCACAAAACCTCAACCATTAAATCAGACAGTAAATCAGCCATCTCGGATCATATCAGCAACTGTCCTAAGGCCAGGCGTTTAATATTTTTCAGATTCGGACCCGCCGACTCTAATTTTTGGGAATATGTAAAAAAAATAAAATCAGATTTCCAATTTTTTTTCACGCCGATAGACGCATAGTCAGTTATTTCATTTATTATCATCACCTTTTAATTAAAAACATATGAATTTACCGTTGTAAACTAGTAAAGAGATACATATTATGTAATATTGTTTACGTGGTTACCAGACTGGTCAGTTGTGAATGTCTGCGCATCTATTGCGCATATGCAGCGGCCTCGGGAGGTTAACGTCGGGGTGTATTATTACATGCAATACCGTTGTGCTGATGGTTTATGATAAACTGTATGGGTGGGCCGTCCTCTATTGTATTAATATATCTCTGCCTTAGTATATCTTTTCAAAATGAAACATTTATCGTTTACAGAGATACAGATATACACCAAAACGGCCATATATATTTTTAAGCCAGGGAATCCTCTGACCAATAATTCTCCCCCCCCCCCCCCCCCCCCCCCCCCCTGTCCCTAACTGTCCACGGAAAACTGTCCAACCGTCAATCAACCGTGACCAAGGCTATCGCATATCCCCAGCGTACCATCAACTCATCAAAGACCCCAATCAGCCATAATCCTGTTGTTTATATTACTGGCTTCATCCTTTGTCACTGACTTCACCGATGATTGTCATCACTACCTTTGTGTGTACATAACAGGCTTCTCTACTCCAGGATAACAATATCTACTCTCCTGTATAAACATTGCCTCCTACTTGTATAGATACTTGTCAACCACACTCTGTATATCACTTGCTTGATAACGGTGTTAGAACCTACACCGAAACGTCTCTTTTAATTGTAATAAAGAAGTTGTTCATGCATAAATTCTTATCCTTACTTAGTACTCCAACTTCTAAATGCCGATCAAAGAAACTCTCTGTCTATATTTGTCAGCTGTTTGTAGATCTAGTATTTCTCAGTCAAAGCTCAGTTTTCTCAATAATCGACGGATAAAGAAACATATGCGCAATCACAATGTGTAACATTTACCTTTTTGAAAGGAAGAAATCTCATCTCTCGTCATGAAAATCGAACTGTGCTCAGTTTCTTTGATGTTTGTCTGAGAGACTCAAGTCACTTCACAAGGGCGCGGCCATATTGGATACCACGTTTTCCGGTAGTGCACGAGAGGAGGCTCGTAGAGAGGAAGGTGAAAAGATTCTCAAGGCACAAGTCTTCAAGTATAACATGACTTATTCTCTCGACTGCAAACTCCCTATTTTGTGTTATAGTGTGAATTATAAAACATATTTACATTAACTATCAGGGTATGTTCATATCTTAGGTAAAATGACGAACACCACACCAACCAAACATCTACAGGGAACATTTCTCGTTGACACCGTATATCTGGGGATTTCCCCCGTTCTAATATTAGCTCAACATCACATTGTAGCCTGCAACCTCGGGGTATCGCGGTACTTGTCATGTACCCTAAACGGAACAAAATGCACTCACTCACCTTTATGATTATTCGTGTTCTCTATATCAGATATCATTTATTTTATCAAACAATGCATATTTTACTGATAAAAGTTAATTATTTACATCAGAAGCTCCGAGTAAAAGCCGGGCCCTTACGCTCTGTTTGACAAGGGAGGGAACTCCATCGTATCGCGGTACAGAGAAAAGTTGTGTATGGAGGTCCGAATTGGACAAAAAGAGGACATAATTCTACCAACCACTAAGTATGATCATGCCAGACATCAGTGATTTGTCCAGACATCAGTGATTTGTCCAGACGTGCAAAAACAGCACAGGTAAAATTCTAAATGTGTTAACAGTAATAGGTATTCAATACATATTTGCCGAAAGTAAGAGAAAAATATTTTTATAAGTGGTTTAAACATATTTTTATTCATTGAAATGAGTTGGGATTGGTGAACAAGCTTTACAGCTTATGTTAACACCGCTCCTATACACCATATATTACATATTGAAATGAAGGATGTGACGTCATCGATATAGACATTATTTCAATAATATGTCTGTACATATTACATCAAATACAAAGTGAACATAAATAGAAAGTTACAGCTTGTGTGTGTCTAACAAGTCGTTTGTAACAAAAGTAATAGTCAATCATGAGGTTATTGTCCGGTTAATTTAATTATTAATTTGTGAAGAGCTGAAACGTTTTGTCTTGATGATGAAATCGTGGACGGATTCAACTAATTTCTGATTTTCAGAGTGAGCAAGTTCATTGTTTCCGTTCATAATAGTATCCAGGTTATAACCGGTAGTGTTAAAGTGCATATTAAGTCTTATCTCAGTAAAGTGCATATTAAGTCTTATCTCAGTAAAGTTACAGCAAGTAAAAAAATAATGTTGGCGTTTTCACAATGATATCCATAGGAGCAACACGGACTGTCAATTAAATGTCTGTTAAAATACTTATCGGCGTTTAGGTCGCTACAACCGAGTCTGAGGCGGCAGTGAACGATTTGACATAATCGAGTGCCATAGCTAAGGTCCAAATAAGTGTTATTTTCGGTTTTCAACTGAGTTTTCAGTTTATTAACAATTCCTCTATGCCATACCTTATCAAAGGCTTTACTTATTTTTATAAGTCAACTACAATATATCAGAAATGATATTCTAAGATTGTTTATGAAAAAAAATTGGATGACAATAATTTGTCACAAAATGGAAAAATGTTAAATGTCAACAATAAATATATTTAAAAAACCACTCCTCGTATGCCCAAAGTATGTATTTATCTTTTAGCTACTAGTGAAGAACGTATTTCTAAGTTTGGCATTATGGCTCTTATGATCTCCCAATAGATTCTGGGCACAGAGCGGGGAAAAAATGTGCGGACTACGTAACTTCCGTTACCTTATCAGTCGCGGTCGAGTCAGTATACGTAATTCATGGCGATGATCTAGTTCAAGTCGATAGAGAAAGTGTACTTGGGGAACTGCGGGTTTTATCGATGGTCATTGACAGATGGGGGTAAGGCAATATTTGAAATGATGCCAGAAGTAAGTATCAACGTATTAATAACTCCTTACTTACAGCAGACGGAACATTCCGAGGAAATTGAAATTGTTTACGAAGTGAGCACTTCCTGGTTACGGAGTAGCTATGCTCAGTCAAATTTAGAATTTTGCATATTGTGTCAATAAGTCACTGATTTAGCTTCAGAAATCCTTCAGAAATATATATCAAAGGATGGTATTTCTCCAACTTGGGTGATGGCTCCTTCTCTACTGGGTATTAGCTCCCTCTCTACTGGGTATTAGCTCCCTCTCTACTGGGTATTAGCCCCCTCTCTACTGGGTATTGGCTCCTTCTCTACTGGGAATTGGCTCCCTCTCTACTGGGTATCAACTCCCTCTCTATTGGGAATTGGTTCCCTCTCTACTGGGTATTGGCTCCCTCACTACTGGGTAGCTCCCTCTCTACTGGGTATTAGCTCCTTCTCTACTGGGTAGCTCCCTCTCTACTGGGTATTAGCTCCTTCTCTACTGGGTATTGGCTCCCTCACTACTGGGTATTGGCTCCCTCTCTACTGTGTATTGGCTCCCTCTCTACTGCATATTAGCTCCTTCTCTACTGGGTATTGGCTCCTTCTCTCCTGGGTATTAGCTCCCTCCCTTCTGAGTATTGGCTCCTTCTCTACTGGGTATTGGCTCCTTCTCTACTGGGTATTAGCTCCCTCTCTACTGGGTATTAGCTCCCTCCCTTCTGGGTATTAGCTCCCTCTCTACTGGGTATTAGCTCCTTCTCTACTGGGTATTGCCTCCTTCTCTACTGGGTATTAGCTCCCTCTCTACTGGGTATTGACTCTCTCCCTTCTTGATATTAGCTCCCTCTCTACTGGGTATTAGCTCCCTCTCTACTGGGAATTAGCTCCCTCTCTACTGGGTATTAGCTCCCTCTCTACTGGGTATTGTCTCCCTCTCTACTGGGTGTTAGCTCCCTCGCTACTGGGTATTGTCTCCCTCTCTACTGGGTGTTAGCTCCCTCTCTACTGGGTGTTAGCTCCCTCTCTACTGAGTATTAGCCCCCTCTCTACTGGGTATTACCTCCCTCTCTACTGGGTATTGTCTCCCTCTCTACTGGGTATAAGCTCCCTCTCTACTGGGTATTGTCTCCCTCTCTACTGGATGTTAGCTCCCTCTCTACTGGGTGTTAGCTCCCTCTCTACTGGGTATTGGCTCCCTCTCTACTCGGTGTTAGCTCCCTCTCTACTTGGTATTAGCTCCCTCTCTACTGGGTGTTAGCTCCCTCTCTACTGGGTATTGTCTCCCTCTCTACTGGGTATTGCCTCCCTCTCTACTGGGTATTAGCTCCCTCTCTACTGGGTATTAGCTCCCTCTCTACTGGGTATTGTCTCCCTCTCTACTGGGTGTTAGCTCCCTCTCTACTGGGTATTAGCTCCCTCTCTACTGTGTGTTAGCTCCCTCTCTACTGGGTGTTAGCTCCCTCTCTACTGGATATTAGCTCCCTCTCTACTGGGTGTTAGCTCCCTTTCTACTGAGTATTAGCCCCCTCTCTACTGGGTATTAGCTCCCTCTCTACTGGGTATTGGCTCCCTCTCTACTGGGTATTAGTTCCCTCTCTACTGGGTATTAGCTCCCTCTCTACTGGGTATTGTCTCCTTCTCTACTGGGTATTAGCCCCCTCTCTACTGGGTATTAGCTCCCTCTCTACTGAGTATTAGCTCCCTCTCTACTGGGTATTAGCTCCCTCTCTACTGGGTATTAGCTCCCTCCCTACTGGGTATTAGCTCCTTCTCTACTGGGTATTGGCTCCCTCTCTACTGGGTATTAGCTCCCTCTCTACTGGGTATTGACTCCCTCCCTTCTTGGTATTAGCTCCCTCTCTACTGGGTATTAACTCCCTTTCTACTGGGTATTAGCTCCCTCTCTACAAGGTATTAGCTCCCTCTCTACTGGGTATTGTCTCCCTCTCTACTGGGTGTTAGCTCCCTCTCTACAGGGTATTAGCTCCCTCTCTACTGGGTATTGGCTCCCTCTCTACTGGGTGTTAGCTCCCTCTCTACTGAGTGTTAGCTAGCCCCCTCTCTACTGGGTATTAGCCCCCTCTCTACTGGGTATTAGCTCCCTCTGTACTGGGTATTAGCTCCCTCTCTACTGAGTATTAGCTCCCTCTCTACTGGGTATAAGCTCCCTCTCTACTGGGTATTAGCTCCCTCCCTACTGGGTATTAGCTCCCTCCCTTCTGGGTATTAGCTCCCTCTCTACTGGGTATTAGCTCCTTCTCTACTGGGTATTGGCTCCTTCTCTACTGGGTATTAGCTCCCTCTCTACTGAGTATTAGCCCCCTCTCTACTGGGTATTAGCTCCCTCTCTACTGGGTATTAGCTCCCTCCCTACTGGGTATTAGCTCCCTCCCTTCTGGGTATTAGCTCCCTCTCTACTGGGTATTAGCTCCTTCTCTACTGGGTATTGGCTCCCTCTCTACTGGGTATTAGCTCCCTCTCTACTGGGTATTGACTCCCTCCCTTCTGGGTATTAGCTCCCTCTCTACTGGGTATTAGCTCCCTCTCTACTGGGTATTAGCTCCCTCCCTTCTGGGTATTAGATCCCTCTCTACTGGGTATTAGCTCCTTCTCTACTGGGTATTGGCTCCTTCTCTACTGGGTATTAGCTCCCTCTCTACTGGGTATTGACTCTCTCCCTTCTTGGTATTAGCTCCCTCTCTACTGAGTATTAGCTCCCTCTGTACTGGGTATTAGCTCCCTCTCTACTGAGTATTAGCTCCCTCTCTACTGGGTATTGTCTCCCTCTCTACTGGGTGTTAGCTAGCCCCCTCTCTACTGGGTATTAGCCCCCTCTCTACTGGGTATTAGCTCCCTCTGTACTGGGTATTAGCTCCCTCTCTACTGAGTATTAGCTCCCTCTCTACTGGGTATTAGCTCCCTCTCTACTGGGTATTGGCTCCCTCTCTACTCGGTGTTAGCTCCCTCTCTACTTGGTATTAGCTCCCTCTCTACTGGGTGTTAGCTCCCTCTCTACTGGGTATTGGCTCCTTCTCTACTGGGTATTGCCTCCCTCTCTACTGGGTATTAGCTCCCTCTCTACTGGGTATTAGCTCCCTCTCTACTGGGTATTGTCTCCCTCTCTACTGGGTGTTTGCTCCCTCTCTACTGGGTATTAGCTCCCTCTCTACTGTGTGTTAGCTCCCTCTCTACTGGGTGTTAGCTCCCTCTCTACTGGATATTAGCTCCCTCTCTACTGGGTGTTAGCTCCCTTTCTACTGAGTATTAGCCCCCTCTCTACTGGGTATTAGCTCCCTCTCTACTGGGTATTGGCTCCCTCTCTACTGGGTATTAGCTCCCTCTCTACTGGGTATTAGCTCCCTCTCTACTGGGTATTGTCTCCTTCTCTACTTAGTATTAGCCCCCTCTCTACTGGGTATTAGCTCCCTCTCTACTGAGTATTAGCTCCCTCTCTACTGGGTATTAGCTCCCTCTCTACTGGGTATTAGCTCCCTCCCTACTGGGTATTAGCTCCCTCCCTTCTGGGTATTAGCTCCCTCTCTACTGGGTATTAGCTCCTTCTCTACTGGGTATTGGCTCCTTCTCTACTGGGTATTAGCTCCCTCTCTACTGGGTATTAGCTCCCTCTCTACTGGGTATTGACTCCTTCTCTACTTGGTATTGGCTCCCTCTCTACTGGGAATTAGCTCCCTCTCTACTGGGTATTAGCTCCCTTTCTACTGGGTATTAGCTCCCTCTCTACAGGGTATTAGCTCCCTCTCTACTGGGTATTGTCTCCCTCTCTACTGGGTATTAGCTCCCCCTCTACTGGGTTTTAGCTCCCTCTCTACTGGGTATTAGCTCCCTCTCTACTGGGTGTTAGCTCCCTCTCTACTGGGTATTGTCTCCCTCTCTACTGGGTGTTAGCTCCCACTCTACTGGGTATTAGCTCCCTCTCTACTGGGTTTTAGCTCCCTCTCTACTGGGTATTAGCTCCCTCTCTACTGGGTGTTAGCTCCCTCTCTACTGGGTATAAGCTCCCTCTCTTCTGGGTACTAGCTCCCTCTCTACTGGGTGTTAGCTCCCTCTCTACTGGGTATTAGCTCCCTCTCTACTGGGTATTAGCTCCCTCTCTACTGGGTATTGTCTCCCTCTCTACTGGGTGTTAGCTCCCTCTCTACGGGGTATAAGCTCTCTCTCTACTGGGTATTGGCTCCCACTCTACTGGGTGTTAGCTCCCTCTCTACTGGGTGTTAGCTCCCTCTCTACTGGGTATTAGCTCCCTCTCTACTGGGTATTAGCTCCCTCTCTACTGGGTATTAGCTCCCTCTCTACTGGGTATTAGCTCCCTCTCTACTGGGTATTAGCTCCCTCTCTACTGGGTATTAGCCCCCTCTCTACTGGGTATTAGCTCCCTCTCTACTGGGTATTGTCTCCCTCTCTACTGGGTGTTAGCTCCCTCTCTACTGGGTATTAGCTCCCTCTCTACTGGGTATTGGGTCCCTCTCTACTGGGTGTTAGCTGCCTCTCTACTGGTTGTTAGCTCCCTCTCTACTGGGTATTAGCTCCTTGTCTACTGGGTATTGACTCCCTCTCTACTGGGTATTAGCTCCTTGTCTACTGGGTATTGACTCCCTCTCTACTGGCTATTAGCTCCCTCTCTACTGGGTATTAGCTCCTTCTCTACTGGGTATTGACTCCCTCTTTACTGGGTATTGACTCCCTCTCTACTGGGTATTAGTTCCTTCTCTACTGGGTATTAGCTCCCTCTCTACTGGGTATTAGCTCCCTCCCTTCTGGGTATTAGCTCCCTCTCTACTTGGTATTGACTCCCTCTCTACCTGGTATTGGCCCCCTGTCTACTGGGTATTGGCTCCCTCTCTACTGGGTATTGGCTCCCTCTCTACTGGGTATTGACTCCCTCTTTACTGGGTATTGACTCCCTCTCTACTGGGTATTAGTTCCTTCTCTACTGGGTATTAGCTCCCTCTCTACTGGGTATTAGCTCCCTCCCTTCTGGGTATTAGCTCCCTCTCTACTTGGTATTGACTCCCTCTCTACCTGGTATTGGCCCCCTGTCTACTGGGTATTGGCTCCCTCTCTACTGGGTATTGGCTCCCTCTCTACTGGGTATTGGCTCCCTGTCTAACTGGTGACGGCTCCCTGTGTACCAATTACTATGGTTGTTTGGTCCCTCGTTACCAAGTTATAGACTTACGTCCCTAGGATCATCGCTCAGGTTTTCCATTTTCAATAGACCCGTTAAGATTCCGGGGTAGAATAGGTCTTCAGCAACCCATGCTTGTCGTAAAAGGTGACTAACGGGATCGGATGGTCAGGTTCACTGACTTGGTTGATGCATGTCATCGATCCCAATTGCGTGGATCTATGCTCATGATATTAATCACTGGATTGTCTGATTTAACATGCTCTTAAAGCTCTCAAAATTCACTCCAGGGTCTGTAAACATCATCAGCCACTGGACTTGAAACGTGACATTCTTCTTTCAACCAATGATGACACTTTTATTTGTTACAGAAGTTCAAATCTGATTTTCGACATGGCCACCACAGTAGCCATTTTGAAATACCTAATCATGGCCACTGCTCAGCTGTTTATTCCAACAATATAATGTAATGCCCTCAAAATGCATTTTTGGCGCTGTAAAAAAATTGTCTGAAATTGTGTCCTGTTTCTCTCCTTATCATGATTAGTGTTTTTCGTGTGTCATAACCGGAATCATTGTATGACATCAGAACAATTATAAGGCTCAGAGTTGAAAAATATGTTGTGTAAAATAAATTTGATTGTTGTGTATTACAACTATGTTATATAAAAGGTTTTGAAACCTTGTGGAAATGTATTTATCTGTTTCAGATGTGTTAATACAATTCTCCTTGGATGCCTTATTTCACAAATTCATATAAATAATACAAATGTGATAGAATGCTGTATCGTTATCCTAACACATTGTAGGAACATTTAGAGGAATCACCAAGTAGGTAAAAAATACATGGTAGTGTCATTATAATATGTGAAAACTTTAATTACCTCTTCAGCCTTAGAGCTGAACCCGCTGAGAAATGGATACAGAACAGCTGATAAGTTTCTCGGATGATGAGATCGAAGGTGGAAATGAAGGGGGTTCAGAGTTGCCGAAACCCCTCCGAGGTCCCTCCCTGGATGAGGCAGCTGGATGGGGGTTGGACCTGCGCGTCTCACACGAGGACAACGTGGACATCGGAGTGGACTTCCGAGAACAGACGTCTCTACCACCCAATGCTCGCCTGGACACACTCAAGGAACACGTGTGGAGATCGAGTACAGATACAGCATCTGAACTGGAAGCCACGGAGAGAAAACTTGTAAATGCTGATGAGGAAGGTCACCATTTTGACCCCAGCGTTCATCATACTGATGTTGTCATTGTTGATGAAGTCACTGGCATCCAAACACGACATGGAGTGTCTGAGAACCAGCGTCCAGGGAGTATCAACACAAAGCAAGACAACCCATGTCCGCCATCTGTCCAGGATGAAAGTAGTTCCTGGCGACCCCCAGTCCCACCAGATCCAGTGTTGACTGGCATCGCTCCACTTTGTCGGAAGGGAAGAAGTATCACGTTTTCTTCTCCTATGAATTAGCTGATCGAGACTGGGTCGACATGGTCAGGCAGAAATTGGAGGCCCCGGAATTCGGATTCAGGTGCAGCGTCCACGAACGAGACTTCCATGGTGGCAAGGGCGTCATTGAGAACATCACTGAGCACATCCGTATTTCTGAGAAGACTGTGATGGTGCTGACGCCTGACTTCACTCAGAGCCGCTGGTGTATGTTTGAGGTTGAGCTGGGGATGATCCTGAGCCTGGAAGAGCGTCAACTCCTGGTAATCCCAGTGCTGGTGAAGGACTGCCCCATCCCAGACAGCATCAAGACTCTCACGTACATAGACGCTTCATCTGGTAACGAGTGGTGGCAGCGCTTCATAGATGCCATATTGTCAAGAGGTAGGGCTGCTTTAGATATACGATCCAGCAATGTGATAAATGATAGTTATAACTGATTCGGAGATTACAAGTAACTGTGCTTCATAATAAAGTGGTGTAAATGATGTGTTATTAAAAATAACATAATATTTGGTCATTCGTCTGATCAATGTAATATCATAACAATGCTGTAGATAACGTCTCCAAAGAGAAAATATTGTGTTTTGAGGAACATTAAAATGTCTGGCAACTTCGTTTTGTGCCATTCCTGATGGCAGCAGACACACGGCGGGTATTAGTTGATGTTCAGCAAGCCGTGGCACTGCCGTTGTATTTTCGGTTAAACAAAAGTGTTTTCATGAGCACATGTTCGCTAAACAATCATTGTGTGCTGTTTTCATTCAAACACCACGTGTGTGAGTATCATGCTCACAACAAACTCACAAACACCTAAATTATGCGCCGTGCATTATCATCCACGTGCACATTTTGAATCACGTACTTAAAGTCGAGGAGATGTATTCATGTATATGTATTGAAAGATGTATTTCAATTTCATCATAAATTTATTTTTATGTTACTATTTTTTCCGTTAGTAAACATTAAGAGACCATGATTTTAAGCTCTCCTTGTTATCGTCAAGTGAGCATGTCACAGCTCTTCTTCAGTTGTCCATCCGTCGGTCCATCTTTTCGCCCGTTTATGAACTTTTTATCCTCATCTCCGGAACATGTTTAATAAACTTGGACAAATGTGTTCCAACTATCTCCGACTGCAACAACGAACACATTTCACTTTAAAAAAATCAAGGATGATCCTTCCTGATGGTGAACTAAGGTTGTCCTTTCGACACTTTCAAAACAAATATCCTTAAAAAACCTTACAATATATTTTTACCGAATGCTCACTATATTGTTGTCATTCTTTAAACAATCCTTGTATGTATGTATAGACGATATTTCTTGTATATGATTGGTTGGCTTTGAAGGACAAGGTCACTACTATGGCACCACCAGCTTATGGCCTACATAATTTGTGTATTTTTTGGCAGGATATTCACCTAAAAGCTTGCAGTGAACTTTGCATGAATTTTGGTCAATGTCACCAGAATTATAAAATCAGGAAACTGTTGGCAAAATGAGAAAGTTTTTTTACTTCTAAACTATAAGTTTATCCTCATGTATAACTTCATTCGTGAAAGTATTCATTGAAAACTACAACAGGAATGAGTATTCATGAACACATGATCATGATACAGTAGGACTTGTACAATGGACTCTGCTTTTTGCAGAGATTTCTTTCCATTATGGAATTGTTTTGTCGCTATTTTTGTCACACGCATGGTTGATAACATGTATATGGTACAAAGGCTCAAATACGTTTTTGCTGCACTTTAGCTTGTTATGAACCATAGTGTATCATCTCACCTGAAATGACTTATTTTTTATTCTATTTTGGTTCGAAACAAAATCAATATAATCAAACAGAATATTTGTTTTGGTGTAATTGTATGGAAATGTTTGCAAATATATAAAAACATTCCAAAATCATTAGCAATCTCTGGTGAGAGCAGAATCATGAATCACTATTTAAGAATCACTGTCAAATAGTGATGATCCCAGGTATCTGTGAAAAGTGAGTGTATCCTGCCCAACCGATGGCACCATCACAAACACATGCAAAGGGAAGTCAAGTGTTCACCTAAAAACACGGTACATATGGCTAAACGGTACAGTTGAACTTGATTGTCTCGACAGCAAATTTCCGAACTCAAACATGTTATGAGAGATGACTTGTAATCTAGTCTAGTTCGTACCACGGTTCAAGGTCGATAACCATAGTGTAACAAATGATGAGATATTGTGTGCCTGCTCTCGATTGTTCTTCACATTAATCATAAACATTAGGTGTAGTAAAGTCTTATCTATAGTGGATTGTTACTCACTGCTATCAATGAAATATGACTAAATTCAGGGAACTGGAAACTATCAATATAACATAATTGTATCCAGCTTGGAATGGAATTGTTGAGACAGACTGAGTAGTGTGGTGCATCTCAAACCACCAGCCTCAGATGACGTAAAGAAGGTGAGCTTCCGTATCCCTGGTGCCTTGGTTGTATTGTGTTGTAATCAGTGTATGTGACACATTCCTAGCTAAACATTACTCTAATGTTCTAACAATCCTGTTTTCTGATACGTGAACATATTTACCCATTGTATATCAGTTACATAACTTGTATATGGTTGCAGAGGAGGTGGTCAGTTTCTCTGGGACCAGGGAGGTAGCTATCCAGCCTCGCTACAGTGAGTACCATGTCTAACACAGCCACGCTACAGTGAGTACCAAGTCTAACACAGCCTCGCTACAGTGAGTACCAAGTCTAACACAGCCTCGCTACAGTGAGTACCATGTCTAACACAGCCACGTTACAGTGAGCACCAAGTCTAACACAGCCTAGCTACAGTGAGTACCAAGTCTAACACAGCCACGCTACAGTGAGTACCAAGTCTAACACAGCCACGTTACAGTGAGTACCATGTCTAACTCAGCCACGTTACAGTGAGTACCATGTCTAACACAGCCACGTTACAGTGAGTACCATGTCTAACACAGCCACGTTACAGTGAGTACCAAGTCTAACACAGCCACGCTACAGTGAGTACCAAGTCTAACACAGCCACATTACAGTGAGTACCAAGTCTAACACAGCCACGCTACAGTGAGTACCAAGTCTAACACAGCCTCGCTACAGTGAGTACCAAGTCTAACACAGCCTCGCTACAGTGAGTACCATGTCTAACACAGCCACGTTACAGTGAGCACCAAGTCTAACACAGCCTAGCTACAGTGAGTACCAAGTCTAACACAGCCACGCTACAGTGAGTACCAAGTCTAACACAGCCACGTTACAGTGAGTACCAAGTCTAACACAGCCACGCTACAGTGAGTACCAAGTCTAACACAGCCTCGCTACAGTGAGTACCATGTCTAACACAGCCACGTTACAGTGAGCACCAAGTCTAACACAGCCTAGCTACAGTGAGTACCAAGTCTAACACAGCCTCGCTACAGTGAGTACCATGTCTAACACAGCCACGTTACAGTGAGTACCAAGTCTAACACAGCCACGCTACAGTGAGTACCAAGTCTAACACAGCCACATTACAGTGAGTACCAAGTCTAACACAGCCACGCTACAGTGAGTACCAAGTCTAACACAGCCTCGCTACAGTGAGTACCATGTCTAACACAGCCACGCTACAGTGAGTACCAAGTCTAACACAGCCACATTACAGTGAGTACCAAGTCTAACACAGCCACGTTACAGTGAGTACCAAGTCTAACACAGCCTCGCTACAGTGAGTACCATGTCTAACACAGCCACGCTACAGTGAGCACCAAGTCTAACACAGCCACATTACAGTGAGTACCAAGTCTAACACAGCCACGTTACAGTGAGTACCAAGTCTAACACAGCCATGTAACAGTGAGCACCAAGTCTAACACAGCCAGGTTACAGTGAGTACCAAGTCTTACTCAGCCTCGCTACAGTGAGTACCAAGTCTAACACAGCCACGTTACAGTGAGTACCAAGTCTTACTCAGCCTCGTTACAGTGAGTACCAAGTCTAACACAGCCACGCTACAGTGAGTACCAAGTCTAACACAGCCTTGCTACAGTGAGTACCAAGTCTAACACAGCCTTGCTACAGTGAGTACCAAGTCTAACACAGCCACGCTACAGTGAGTACCAAGTCTAACTCAGCCACGCTACAGTGAGTACCAAGTCTAACACAGCCACGCTACAGTGAGTACCAAATCTAACACAGCCACGTTACAGTGAGTACCATGTCTAACACAGCCACGTTACAGTGAGTACCAAGTCTTACTCAGCCTCGCTACAGTGAGTACCAAGTCTAACACAGCCACGTTACAGTGAGTACCAAATCTAACACAGCCACGTTACAGTGAGTACCATGTCTAACACAGCCACGTTACAGTGAGTACCAAGTCTTACTCAGCCTCGCTACAGTGAGTACCAAGTCTAACACAGCCACGTTACAGTGAGTACCAAGTCTAACACAGCCACGTTACAGTGAGTACCAAGTCTAACACAGCCACGCTACAGTGAGTACCAAGTCTAACACAGCCACGCTACAGTGAGTACCAAGTCTAACTCAGCCACGCTACAGTGAGTACCAAGTCTAACACAGCCACGCTACAGTGAGTACCAAATCTAACACAGCCACGTTACAGTGAGTACCATGTCTAACACAGCCACGTTACAGTGAGTACCAAGTCTTACTCAGCCTCGCTACAGTGAGTACCAAGTCTAACACAGCCACGTTACAGTGAGTACCAAGTCTAACACAGCCACGTTACAGTGAGTACCAAGTCTAACACAGCCACGCTACAGTGAGTACCATGTCTAACACAGCCACGCTACAGTGAGTACCAAGTCTAACACAGCCACGTTACAGTGAGTACCAAGTCTAACACAGCCTCGCTACAGTGAGTACCAAGTCTAACACAGCCACGCTACAGTGAGTACCAAGTCTAACACAGCCTCGCTACAGTGAGTACCAAGTCTAACACAGCCACGCTACAGTGAGTACCAAGTCTAACACAGCCACGTTACAGTGAGTACCAAGTCTAACACAGCCTCGCTACAGTGAGTACCATGTCTAACACAGCCACGTTACAGTGAGTACCATGTCTAACACAGCCTCGCTACAGTGAGTACCATGTCTAACACAGCCACGCTACAGTGAGTACCAAGTCTAACACAGCCACGTTACAGTGAGTACCAAGTCTAACACAGCCTCGCTACAGTGAGTACCATGTCTAACACAGCCACGTTACAGTGAGTACCATGTCTAACACAGCCTCGCTACAGTGAGTACCATGTCTAACACAGCCACGCTACAGTGAGTACCAAGTCTAACACAGCCACGTTACAGTGAGTACCAAGTCTAACACAGCCTCGCTACAGTGAGTACCATGTCTAACACAGCCACGCTACAGTGAGTACCAAGTCTAACACAGCCACGCTACAGTGAGTACCAAGTCTAACACAGCCACGTTACAGTGAGTACCAAGTCTAAGACAGCCACGCTACAGTGAGTACCAAGTCTAACACAGCCTCGCTACAGTGAGTACCAAGTCTAACACAGCCACGCTACAGTGAGTACCAAGTCTAGCACAGCCACGTTACAGTGAGTACCAAGTCTAACACAGCCACGCTACAGTGAGTACCAAGTCTAGCACAGCCTCGCTACAGTGAGTACCAAGTCTAACACAGCCATGCTACAGTGAGTACCAAGTCTAACTCAGCCACGCTACAGTGAGTACCAAGTCTAACACAGCCACGTTACAGTGAGTACCATGTCTAACACAGCCACGCTACAGTGAGTACCAAGTCTAACACAGCCACGCTACAGTGAGTACCAAGTATTTCGGTAGTCCAATATTGCCATATACTGGTCGTTTCCACTGTCTTTTGCTTTCCGTAGTAGTTTCTTCACGGTCTTTACCGCAGACTCTGCCTTTCCATTGGCTTGACTGTTGTGAGGACTTGAGGTTAAGTGCTCTATGTCCCAATCAATGACAAATTTGTTAAACTCCTCCGAGTAGAACTGAGGTCCGTTATCACTAACCAGCTGGTCCGGAATCCCATATCTGGCAAAGTGTGCCTTTAGCTTCTTGATAACTGTAGTAGACTTGGTGTCTGACAGGCAGTCCACTTCCCAGAAGTTACTGTAGTAATCCACGGTTATCAGATAGTCCTTATCATTAAGTGTGAACAAATCTGATGCCACTTTTTGCCATGGTCGTTCTGGTACTTCAGTGGTCTGTAGTGTCTCCTTCTGCTGGTCTGCCTGGTATTTGCAGCACAACTCGCAAGTACTGATGTACTGTTTAATGTCATCAGACATGTGAGGCCAATACAATCTCTCTCTTGCACGCCGTAAACAACCTTCGATCCCCAGGTGAGAAGTATGGATCCTGGTTTTCATTGTTGTTCTCAGGTTGTGAGGTATGACCAGCCTTTCTACTCTGAATATGAGACCATTCTGTACTGTGATCTCGTCTCTACAGTTGAAATATGGGTATAACTCCATCGGCAAAGCGTCTCTTTCCTCTGGCCACCCACTTAAAGGGGCACTGATCTAACGGAATTCCCCGGACTGGTTGTTGCCTTTGTTATTGTTTTTTCCCCGTGAGTACCCGGATGATACGCAACGCAACTGAGCGTGACCAGAGACTGGGCTACCGTCTGCAAGGACAGCTAAATAAACTTGGAGGCTGGAGGCAATATTTGTTTTACGCATTTTTGCATAAACACTGATTGGTAACCGGGATCTATAAAGATTTCGATAAAGGGCGCATGTTAATTAATTTCTTCAACCTAAACAAACAGACAAAAAGAACGGCGGAGCTCATCGGATGTCGTCATTTGGAAATACCCCAGATGGTTATAGTTTAATACTAAAAAAGTATCCATGCAGTGAAAGCATTTTCGGATTTCGGATTGCGTCGATAATACGATATCTACTCCCTTGTTGTCATCCTAGTTTTCTCGTATAACCCCTACACTTGTGTATTTGTCGTCATTCACTTGATGCTCAGTTAATGAATTTATTACAGGTACAATTAGTGGTAGCACCACTTAGATTACCTGACAAAGGTTCCCATTTGGCATTTATTGTGTCTGGGGTAATTATTCAATCTAAATCCAGGTTTGAAGTGAGGTGAAATGTGTGTTATGTAATATGCACGTGGCAGACCAGCAAGAGGTTAATGATCAGTTGATTTACTTTTTTTTGTAAATCAACGGATCGTTCCTAGTCATCAAAGGATTAACAGAAAATACGTTGATTGATTAATCACTGTTATTTTGCACAGTGGATATGTCAAAAGTGAGTGTTTACATGTCTAGGTTTACTAAAACAAAGGGAATACACTCATATCATGGCGTGAAGTGCCGATGTAAAAACAACATACTTTGTTCAAAGGGTTAACTGATAATACGTTGATTGATTGATCATTGTTATCTATCACTCAATGGAATTTTTAGGAACTGTGGACGTTATGAAAATAGTTGTCACGTGGGCTTTCTCAGCTGACCCTTGAGACTTGACACCTATGAGAAACACCTGAAACAATCTACGTGATCAGTTGAGAAACGGACACGGGTTAAAATATCCCCAAACGATATATATTTTTAAAAATATGTGATTGTTACAGAGACACATGACATCGAATAAGTTTCTTTGTACAGCTGCAGACGAGTGGGATATTGTTCCTTTGTGTGGATATTCATGGATACATTGCTCGAACAAGGAAGCTGCCTAAAATTTATACACATAAATTTGGTAGGTTGTAATTATGGTATTTGCATTTTGTTTTCCTTCATTTGCTGTAGCATTGAACCGATTCGTCCTTGTTTCTCTACGTCTTGGTTGGGAAATTCTTCAATGCGCGATAGACGTTGTTTTCACAGACCTTTTCCTTTGTAAGCGTGTATATATTACCGTCAATTTGTAAAACGTGATTCTCTCAGGCAATTTATAAAATGTGTAAATATTTCAGTCATTTTGACTAAAAAATCTGTCCAGATTGATTAAGACGATTAAAAGGGCCTACAAACATCACAACTGATTATTATGTAGGATTAGAAGCCAAACAACATAGAAATGTACTTTTCAACGTAACATTTTCAGTCTCTTGGTGATGACATTAAACATCAAAATGTTTGGAATTCGTTATCATAATAATACAGTCACTTTGTAAAATAACTGAATATTTAGGCGTTTAATAAATTTGAAAATGTTACATATTTTGACAGTAAAAAGATATACACACTATATAAAAGAAATGCTCAGGTGAAATATTTACTTTGTGTTGCAAGTCAAAATAGTGTAAACGAAAATCGCTAAATGTGTCTTATCAAAACTTCGTCACCATTACCGATGCTACCCACAAAGATACCTACATTTCCTTATTATCTCGAAAACTGTATTTCATTTTGTTGATCAATGTGACCATACGCCCTTATTACTACCCATACAAGAGACTAATGCGCTTACGAATGGCGCAGCAGAGGTCGCGAACTAGTCTAGATTTCTGCTATACATCCGGGTACTCACTGGGAAAAAACAATAACAAAGGCAACAACCAGTCCCGGGGAATTGCGTTAGATCAGTGCCCCTTTAACACGATTTGTTTGAGTTTCTGCAGAGTTTCATCCTTTTCAGTCTCTTCTCTGATCTGCTTGATCCTGTCATCTGTTATCGGCAAAAACTTTGCCATGTTCACCTGACTGAAAGGCTCTACAATCTTTGGCTCTGTGCTTGGCAAATATGCTCTTGACAATGTGTCTGCCAAAACAACATCTGCACCTTTCTTGTACTTGATAGTGGCGTCATACTGTTGCATAGCCAGAATCATAGACTGTAGTCGTCTAGGAGCACAGTTTAAGGGTTTGCTGGTTATTGCTTCTAGTGGTTTATGATCATTTTCCACTGTAACTTTCCGACCAAATGTGTATGTGTGGAACTTTTGAAGTCCGAAAACAACAGACAGCATTTCCTTTTCAATCTGTGCATATCTGGACTCAGCCGGTGTTAGGGCACGGCTAGCGTATGCAATTGGCTTGTCTTGTTGTAACAGCACAGCACCTAGTCCAGTGGAACTTGCATCACACTGCAGTGTCAGTTCTTCAGCTTCATTGTAGTATGCCAATACTGGAGCTTCCGTAACCAGTTTTTTCACTTCAGTGAAGGCTTTCTCGTGTGCCTCCATCCATGTCCAGTCCACGTCAGTATGTGTTAATTGTCGAAGTGGTTGCATTACCCCTGACAGACGAGGTAAATATCATGCAAGGTAGTTGACGAACCCTGAGAAGCGTTGAATGTCCTCAACATTCTGTGGTGCTGGCATTTCCAACACAGCCTTTATTTTCTGTGGGTCACACTTAAGTCCCTGATCAGTGATGATGTGACCAAGAAAGGTAACCTCTTTCCTGTGTGAAGAGGTATTGCGCACGTAAAATCCTTGCCGGAAATAGTCGGTACCTTCCGGAAATAATCACAAATTTGAAATGTTTTAGAGTTACATTTGCTGTTAAAATTTATAAATAAACTGTTAAAATATAATTAAATGTACCTGTAAGAATTCTGATGCATCGTAACTATTAAATTGGATAAAAGTACGCAAAGCTTTCAACTTTTCCCATGGTGCACTTGTTTCATAGTTTTCGCGCCATAGTCGCCATGCTTGTCAAAGTGAGAGGTACACAACATTTTTAGAGAGCTCCACATACGAAGCCACAACTTTGTCATTCCTTGTAAGTACTCTCCAATTACTTATATCACGTCGTATGTAGATGATTTGTTATTTAGAAATTACGTACGTAGATGGTTTGCTAAATTGATGTCTATTTTAGAAGTCGGTTCAGGCCTCGTCACAGTACAGTGCTTGGTGAAAATAACACCACGTGGTAAAGCTATTTCAATTCCTGACCGTTGCTTATTGACACGATCATGGAAATATAATTGTTTGTTGATGGTTGCATTTCTGCTAGAATTCTTTTCCTTTAATTTTCACGTATTTGTAATATTGATGCTAGTCACATTGAATAGTTTTAGTGAGTGACCACGAGTTACCTCCTTTGTCCATTTTATGTAAACATCGGCCATGCTCATTAGAAATAGATCGTTTTTGATTTACTACTCGGCCAAAGTTAAAATATATTATTTACTAGTTTCGAAAAGCATGTTGTGATTGCTGCGAGATTATATCGTTGATTGTTACGATTAGCCTTTTGTTTGGTGCTAGGACCTGTGACCGTCCCTGTGACTGTCCCTGTGTTGCCGATAGGCATGGATAACCTTTGACCCTTGTCAGCTGGTTGTAGTCACGTGGGGGTGAGTTGTTGTTAGCCCAGACCTAGTAGAAAGATTGTAGTATTTTGCTCTTTTGTCATATTTCTGTATTCCTTTGTTGTTAATCTCGATCCTTACTTTGTAATTTGAAATGGAAGAAATTAGTGAATTAGTAATTGGTTTTATTGTCGAAGTGAATGCTCAAATGCCACTGATATTTTCAGTGTTGATTAACCAACTAAGTATTTACGATTATGGATCAACGTGTGATGACAGAAATTATTATATGATAACATGTGATATTTTTACATTTCATATTTTATTAATACTGTCTGTAGGAAATATCCATAATGCTAAAAGTAAATTAATCGTTGTACATCATAATATCGGCGCAGATCCTGACAATCGTGTTTATATTGTTTTGTAGGTTTTTCATCAAGTTGCCATCATGGAACGACAATAAATACTCTTCGATGAAACTATTCACTCTTCTTTACTGATTTCCCAAGTTACAAAAATGGTGTCAGAAGTGGGATGCAGAAGTGATGTGAAAGAAACCCCCAGGGTGACTGTGATGAGGAAGTCGATGTGAGGGAGAGTCCTACAACCAAGATGTCTGGGTCTGCCAGCCCAAGTAATATCAACTTGCAGGGGGAAGCTGAACGGTCTGCTGAAACAATGGAAGCTGTCGCGAAGGAGTTGGAGGTCCTGAGACTGAAAGTGAGGGAACAGGAGGATGCACTGGCTGCAAGGATCAACAAGCCTGTTGTCCTGTCCACAGGTCGACAAATAGCTCGCTTCAAGGACAAAGCATCAGAACCCGGCGATGTTTCACTAGAAGAATGGATTTCGGATGTGAGATGTGCTGCAGAAACCCGCAAGTTGAAGACAGAAGATTTCGCTGTTCTGCTATGCGAGAATCTTGGTGGACGGGCCCGACAAGAAATCCTTGCCAGAGGATCAGACATCAGGAATTCTCCGACCAACATTATACGGATCTTGCGGAAAGTGTTCGGCGATGGATGTGACTTGCCGTCGGCACAGCACCGTTTCTATTCCTATCGCCAATCGTCTGGACAGGATCTGGTTACTGTATCCCTTGATCTTATTGATCTATATGACAAGATCATTGAAATTGATCCTACTTTCAGCGGAATGAAGGAGTCTGCCCTTAAAGGTCAACTGGCGGAAGCTGTACAGAGCGACGTCCAAAAACGAGAGACAAGGCGCCTTACTATCGAGCACCCCAGCATGAGTTTCCTGGACTTGAGGGATCGTCTTATTGAATGGCTTGGCAACACTCCATTAAAAGAAAAGAATGTACATTATCAAGAACATCGAGCAAACTTTGAAGATGTCTTGAAGAGACAGGAGGCCATGATAGAGGAACAACAGAAACAGATACAAGAGCTTCTCACCATCAACGCTCGACCAAGGACAAGGGCTTGCTGGGAATGTGGGGAAGAGGGTCACATGCGACGCGATTGTCCGAACCGATCTGCTCCCCGTTCTAGAAGACCAAGGGCTTTAAACATGTAAAACCCACAGCGGAGGACCTCACTGTGGGGGTTGAAGAAAACAATGCTTATGGTCCACTCTTACATAGACTGGTAGGGAGATGTCCGGAGACCGTTATTGATGTTAATGGGATCAAGATCCGATGTCTGGTGGATACCGGAGCACAGGTGTCGACGATTACAGAATCATTTTACAGGGATTACTTTCAAGGAAAGGAAATTGTCGACATTGGAGGACTGATCCGCATTAAGGCTGCCAATGGACAGGACATCCCCTACTTGGGCTATCTAGCATTGGATATAGTTACTTTTGGCCATGAACTCAAATCTATAGGATTCCTGGTAGTGAAAGACCCTTTAGAACCAGCAATGCAAGAAAGAAAATTAGAAGTCCCTGGAGTTTTAGGATGCAACGCTCTTAGAGACATGAAATCCCTTTTAGAAACAAATAGCGTAACAGTGGATGATGAAGTCCGAGATCTTTTGGCATACTACGATGAGATCGCAACAGCAAGAAGTGATGCCAAAGTGAGGACAGCTGGGAAGAAACCAACACTCATACCCGCAAGATCACTGCAAGTCCTGGAAGGAAGTGTGGCACCATCGAAAGAGCCCTTCACAGCTGTCATTGAGGAAATTTCACTACCCCTCCCCAAAGGATTAGTGCTTGGACCAACAGTGGTCACTGTTGACAAAACCGGACGAGTCCTTTTTCAAGTCGCCAACTTCAGTGACAAGGACATCTATTTAAGGCCGAGGACACCTGTGGGAATACTCAACGCTGCTGAGGTGGAGCCAAGAATAGATGTAGTTGACGTCAGTTTAAATGAAGTCCAAGTCACGGAGGTATCCCATTCAATACATGGAGCCAACCTAGTAGAGAATCTCATGAAACGTATGGAGATTAACAGTGATTTGCCTTCTTCTCATAAGGAACAGTTGCACGAAGTTATTGCCAAACATGCCAGCACTTTCAGCAAGGATGAGGATGATATTGGATTCTGCGATGCCATCAAGCACAGAATTATAACACCTGATGATGCCCCAGTTCGCATTCCACATCGACGTATTCCCCAAAGCCACTGGCAAGAAGTACGAGAATATATCAAGAAGTCGTTAGACAAGGGAGTGATCAGGGAGTCATCCAGTCCATATGCGTCCCCAATTGTGCTTGTGCGGAAGGGAGGTAAACTGAGAGTTTGCTGCGACTATCGTGCGCTGAATGCAAAAACACGGAAAGACGCCTATCCTCTACCTCGGATAGAAGAAGCCCTCACTGTATTAAAGGATGCCAAATACTTCTGTAGTCTGGATCTTGCCCATGGGTTTAACCAGATAGCCGTTGCAGAAGAAGACATCGAGAAGACAGCCTTTCGGACAGGAACAGGTGGCTTATATGAGTATCTGCGGATGCCATTTGGATTAACTGGAGCCCCAGGAACTTTCATGAGACTGATGGATAAAATCTTCGGCGATGAAAATTTCCAAACTCTCCTCATCTATTTAGATGACATTCTTATATTTGGGACAACATTTGAAGAAGCTCTAGAACGTCTGGACATGGTGTTGACCAGACTCTCCAAATATAATCTGAAAGTTAAACCTGAAAAATGTCAACTCTTCAAGGAAAAACTTCGTTATCTTGGACACATTGTCTCTGAGGAAGGTATTGCTCCAGATCCGGACAAGATCACAGCTGTTAGTGGTTGGGCAGTTCCTAAGACAGAGACACAGTTGAGAGGCTTTCTTGGGTTGGCAGGTTATTACCGAAAGTTTGTTCAAGGCTTCGCCAGCATTGCAGCTCCTCTACATTCTCTGCTGCAAGGCAAAAGATTGGGAAAGAAAGGAAGAAGGAAAGTTCAGCCAGGGAGTGGTATGAAAGCTTGGGACAGCTCTTGTGACAAGGCCTTTGAAGAGCTGAAGCTTCGTCTTACCATGTCGCCAGTCCTGGGACACCCTGATTTTGATAGACCGTATATCCTTGAGGTCGACGCTAGTCACTATGGATTAGGAGCGGTATTGTCACAGGACCAGGAATCTGGAAAAGTGGTGCTGAGCTTTGCTAGCAGATCCTTAAAGGGGAAGTGTACACGCAAAAATCACTTTCTTTCTTTTTCTAAACAAAACGCAATTTTAGAATTAATTAGTATCTGTGTTTGAAAATATACACTCATTTTTTTCACAGTGAACGTAGGAAGCTCGCAATAGTGTGAAAATGATATGCCGTTATGAGGCCTTCGTTTTTCGAGCTAAACAGGCCTGAGTTATCCCCCTTAGATTATGACGTAATTGGTGCCAATTCAACTGGGTCCCTGTCTATTCTCAACGCAAAAGATATCAAGTACCAGTTTGCGGTAAAACAACATGGCCTACGACACACTCCGGCGCAGTGGTGACTCAGCATAACACTATGCTGGCTGGCATCTGAGACGCTAGAATCACACACCTGGACCTACACCACGTGAAGCGGCTCTAACAAAGCATGATGACGTCATAATGTTTATCAATTGGCACCAATGACGTCATATTGCAAGGGGCATAAGCCATGGTGTTTTTGTTGTGGAAATAGAACACTTGGTAAATGTGAAAAATATAAATCGTTTTAATGCGAAAAATATGTTAATTAATTGTGATATTTTTATATTTTTGTCTATGACACTTCTATGTTAACACTTTTAATGTGGAAAAAGTACAAGAAAAATAGGTTCATTTCCGTGTGAACTTGCCCTTTAAGACCAGCCGAAAGAAATATGGACAACTACAGCAGTATGAAGTTGGAGCTTGTTGCACTGAAGTGGGCTGTCACCGAAAAATTCAGAGATTTCCTTCTTGGAGCTGAATGTACTGTCTACACAGACAATGACCCGTTGAGCTATGTCCAGACCACTGCAAAGTTAGGTGCAACGGAAACAAGATGGATTGGAGAACTGGCACAGTTCAACCTTGTCATTCGGCACAGATCGGGAAAGAAGAACAGAAACGCTGACTCATTAAGTAGGAAAGAAACCCACATCCCTGAAGTTGCACGAATGGAAAAGATTTCCGTAATTGGCTCCAGTGACATGCCAGTTATGTCAACCATGGTACCCGTCCAACTGAAGACGCAGATCCAGCAAGACACGAAGTCAGTTTGTTTGGAGTCATTGCAAATACAAACAGTACGCCTCGAACCAATACCAAGCACAAATCTCCCTACTGTTCTCCCCGATGAAATGAAGAAAATGCAGGAAGAAGATGTGAACATCAAGAGGTTCCTATTTCATTACAACCAGGACCAGTATCCATCTTACAGAGACCGGTTGAAAGAGCATCCAAATACACGCAGAATGCTGAAATGCTGGAAAAACATGGTCCTGCGAAATGGAGTTCTCTATCGTCAGGTGAAAGTGGACAATAAGCCAACATTGCGAGTCGTTATTCCCAACAAGCTCCAATCAAGAGTCCTCAAGGCTAGCCATGACGAAAGTGGACATCCCAGTGCAGAGAGGACCATTTCCGTTCTGAGAGCGAGATGCTTCTGGCCATACATGGCACGGGACACAGAAGAATACTGCAAAAAGTGTGAGAGGTGTTTGCTTGGGAAACATGGGCCCTCTGTGAAGCCATCATATGGAAGCATCATCGCCAAACGACCACTCGAAATCCTAGCAATGGACTATACGCTGTTGGAGAAGGGCACTCATGGACTCGAAAATGTACTTGTTCTCACGGACGTGTACACTAAATTCACACAAGCCTTCCCAACCAGGGATCAGACCGCAAGGACCGTTGCCAGGATCTTAGTTAAAGAATGGTTCGTCAAGTTTGGTGTCCCCCGGCGGCTACATAGTGATCAAGGTAGAAATTTCGAATCCAACATCATTCACGAGCTATGTAGCATATATGGTGTAAGAAAGACCAAAACAACACCATATCACCCAGAAGGAAACTCGCAGTGTGAGAGATTCAATAGAACTCTGCATAACATGCTAAGAACCTTGCCTCTCCCTCAAAAGAAGAAATGGCCACAACTACTGCCAGAGCTAATCTATGCTTACAACTGTACCCCACATGCTACCACAGGGTATTCACCCTTCTACTTGTTCTTCGGGCGAGACCCAAAGTTACCGGTTGACCTTGTTATAGGAGATCAAGTAGATGAGACCACAGAGACGGACTGGGTGACAGAACACCATCAGCGGTTACAAGCAGCATTTAACCAAGCCAGCAGGAGAACGGAAGAAGCTGCACTGCAAAGGCAAGCAAGAGTAAATAAAAACACGAATGACAGAGAACTTGTAGTTGGAGCCAGGGTATTTCTCAGAAATCATCCGGCCGGAAGACATAAGATTCAAGACATTTGGCGACCAGAGCCATACAAAGTCATTGCTAGGAAAGAAAACCAAGTTTATGCTATATGTCCTCTCGACAGTGATAATCCAAAACAAGTACACAGAAAAGAACTGTTGGACTCAAGAACACTTGTGTCTGATATACAGACAGACCCCCATCTTGAAGACAGAGTGGAACCAGTGGTCGGTACAACTGCCAGAAGTGCTGCAGTTGAAGCCGAGAACGAGAACCTTCTTCCAGAAGCTTGTACGTTTCGTGTTAGTGTTCCGGATGAGGTATCCAACGAGGGTATTTCAAAAGTGTGTGGAAGTGCTTCATGCACAGCAGGGGAGCCTGTAAACACCCAGGCCTCCAGTGATTCAGCTGATGAGACACTTGAGAGTGATCATGCTGGGGACAATCTGTGTAATGCAGTTAGTGGTGACCCTAATAGTGACAACATCAAAGATAATGTTGTGAGTGATACAGTCACACTTGCCACTAATAGTAGGGATCCAGGTGATGCTACTGCTTCGTGTCAAGGTGGCGAGCTTGAAATGGACGCTTGTGCGGAAGATGAAGCTCCACCACTTCGACGAACAACGCGTTCGAACGCCGGACAGCATCCCAACCCTCACAACCTACCGCAGTCCGCAGCACAGAATGAAGTGACTGTAGTTGCTCCAATAGACCCTACTGTGTTAGCTAATATTAGTCGGTCGCAGTTGTTGTTACTGCAGTTGTTAGCGAAGTCCGTCCCAAAGTAAACAGTGAGCTGATTTGTTCCGTCCAGACATTTACTGTGAAAAAGGAAACTTTTTGACGAACCAAAGCCTGTGTTATGTTTACAACTTCCGTACCAGTATTATTTTTAAACTGCTCAGTGCACATTGTTTATTGCACCATGTTGATATTGTTTACATTTGATTATGTGTATTCTTTAGAAGTGTGGCAGTTACTTGTTTCAAGTCGAAATGCTTTTTCCTGTGACTTGTAATAGATGCCTGATGTGAATGATATATTGTCCCTTAGAGTATATAGATTGTTAGTTGCCAGGAGTCAACTATTTAGCAGGGGAGTGTGAAGAGGTATTGCGCACGTAAAATCCTTGCCGGAAATAGTCGGTACCTTCCGGAAATAATCACAAATTTGAAATGTTTTAGAGTTACATTTGCTGTTAAAATTTATAAATAAACTG